AAAAAAAAAAAAAAAAAGGGAAAAAAGGATCCTACCTCCTGATGAGAGTTTGACCAAAATAGAGATAAATACCAACTATGTCTCAGAGAAAACAGCAAGAAGCCCATTAGCTACAGAAACATCAAACAAACAAAAAAAATCTAGCACAACAATGTTGAAAACCAAAGTTTTGGGCTTTGGGAAAAAGAAAAATAAAAAAGTCTTTAATTATTTTGTTTTCTAGCAGTAGAAATCTGTTCCCAAAGGGCCAAGCAGATTTCTCCCAGAAAACTCCATGTCTGCTATGGCAGAGATAAAAGTCATCTTTGTTTAAACAGAAGCCAAAGGTTACAGAAAGGGAAAACCAATGAATAATAGATCCTCAGCCCTTCCCAGCAAGAGCAAAGAGCTCCCCTCCTCCTCACTCCCAGGCATTCAGGGCAGCTAAACACCAACACTAGTTTTGCTCAGAAAAAGACATGAAGGACTGACTTACCTTGCTTCTGTGCGTCAATGACAAGGACAGGGAGGTCCATGACCACGGGGAAGATGCCACATGGGAGGACAGAAGAACGCTTATGTGCTGGACCCATCCTGCAGGGCAAAACACCAGCCCCTTGCTGTGTGCTCCAACCCCAAGCAAAATATTAAAGAAAAAAAATCTTCTTGTAAGAATTCAGGCAGGACACCTCTCTGGTTGTTCAAAGCAGACAGAACTCAAATGCCACAGGGTTTCACCTCTAACAAGAGGAAAAGCAATGGTTTGGCCTCCTTTTCTAGAACCTACCTGCTAGAGAAGGCAGGGAGATCCCTGAATTTTCATCCTGCCTCTGCCAGTCATGCAGTGCATGGATTTCAGAAACATCCCTTTACCTCTGCCCTTGCATCTGTAAAGCAAGCACCTCATAGCCAGACTTTTAGCAAAGTCTGAACCAAATAGATCAAAAGCGAGAAACTGAGAGCTCCTTTAAGAAATATAAACCAAGAACCTTCCCACACAGCACTCAGACTCCCATCTGCTGCCTCTTGGTTCTCAGTCTGTGCAAGCAATTATCCTGATTATTTTTGCTCATTTCCACAACCCTCCCCACCTGAGAGCCAGAACCAATAGCAGGGGCTTTGTTTGGGGTCCCTGGGAACCCATGTTCTGCAGGAACGTGCTGCACAGCCACCAAGGCTCCCACTTGAATCTAGGCATGAGCTTCTCCGGAAGCTCATGGTTAAAACATTGCCTTTGATGGGCTGAAGATACACATGAAAAATTGTGGCTTAAGGATTAATTTTGTCAGCAGGGTATTTCTGTTAACAGGGACAGGGAGATCCATGTGTAAATGAAACAGCTGCACACATTGTGTCTAAGATGAAAACAAGGTTCTGCCCCTGAGCTCCAAGGAATTCCTCAGCACATCCCTCGATTCAGCCACAAATCAGCCCTAGCCCTTGTGTGCCTTCTGCTCAAGTCTAACTTCTCTCTGGTCTCCCCTCCCACATCCCTGAAGGCTTCACTCCTGATGCTGGCTTTCCTGGCTTCATTTCAGCTGGCCTTATTTAACTCCTTCCTTTGAAGAATCCTCTCCTGCCCCCTCCTCCTCTGAGTCATGCTCTTGCTGTCAGGATGTTGCTCAGTTAAGTAAACCAGCTTATGGCCAGTGCTGTAGCCCTGCACTCCCTTCCTCTCTTGGACTAGTTATGTCCAAACATGGATTATGAACTCTTAGATAGCAAGACTGTCTTATACTTTTTTTTTTTTCCCTTTAAGTGAACTCCTGCATTCCCTGTGTTGTTCTGAAAGAGCAACCAATGAGTGCTTTACTCAGGGTCTTTTTAAGATGACCCTTGGATATGGTAACCTGGTGGCTCCATAATTAGCTCTTCACTGTTGCAAGGTGTTTCCCCAGAACAACCTGTGAATTTTCTCACTAGCTCTGCAGTGACTGTGTCACCTAAAGAGCTGCACACTCTTGGTCAAAAAGACCCAGAGCTTAGCAAAAAAGTGCACCCAGACTCCAACTCACCTTTAAGACTCTCCAGCAAAATGTGCAAAAAAAGCAACTCCAAAGAATTTTACTGAGACACAGTGGGGGCAATATATCTTTAATTTTTTTTCTTTTGTTTTTTAGTATTACAGTATATTCTTATAAAAAGATACAGATAAAAAGGACACTACAGGATTTGTACATTTAATTCACTTATAGTCTTAAACTGACTAAGGAATGAGGATATGCCAAGGCATTACAGCAGCACACAACCTCCCACTTCAGTAAGCAGCACGGTACTTTCTAGCTTGGTAGGCAGGGGCACCTCCCAAAGTGACCTGCGAGTTTCAAGCTGAGCGGGCTTGCAGGGGAAGAGAATGGCTGAAGGTGGGGATGTTTTGGCAGGGAGGTGTTGAGCACGGAGTGGCTCAGGTACCTGACATCCCCTTAAAATTCTCCTAAAAACTGCAAAGGTTTTTAAAAAGCCTGTAAGGAAATGGCTTGTCATGAAGGCTTTTCTAGATCACTTGGGTAAGAGCTCCTGGTGGTGGACAGCTGAAAAGACCAAGCCCTTCATGAGGTCTGAGGAACACATAAACTGACAAAACTGCCTAAAGGAGAGTTTTGATCCAGATGTTGCTGAGAATGACACTGGTGTAAACTCAGAGCAACTTGCACTGGTTGCACGGGATCTATTCTACATTACCATCCGTAACAGAAGACTCTTGTCTGGAAGCATCCAGACTCTCTCATGAAATGAGGTGCCAAAATACCATGCTAGACTGATGGCATCCTTCTCAGCAGGCACAGTGAGCAAAAACTGGCCAACTTCAGGGGATACTGGTCATCAAAACTACTACTTATAGTAGTAGATAGATTTTATATATTGATATATATATATATATATATATACACACACACGTATAAATTCTATATTTTTAGTTGGCCAAATTGTTACCCAAGTTGGCCTCCTCAACCTTTGATAACAGAAACTAAGGTGGCCACAGATACTACCTTTTTGCATGGCAGGCAACCAGAAATTTTCTGTGTCAAGTACAGAAGCCAAGGAGCCATGGCCAAACACCTGGTGATTGCTAGAGATTCCATGGGTAGAAAACTAACCAGTAGAAAGACTTTTGTTTACCCTGGATAATCAGGGTAGGTGGGGTGTAGGAAGAGAGAGGGGAAGTGGAAAAAATCATTCTTCCTGACCCTTGAAGATAAGAAGGAATATTAGCTCTGAGGAAGAACTGTCCCAGTTTGTCTCACCAGTTTGTTAATTCTGGTGAGATGTAACAGGGCATGAACCACTTTTGCCCATCTCTGGCATTATGGAGAGAATTTGTGTGAAAGGGTGAAGTTTCAGCGAGCAACTGTGCAGCTTAACTCTTCTCAATCTTCTCACCATGATTCATGATAAGAAATAAACAGGTTTTATAGAAAGGGTTCTAAAATAACCAGTCTGCATCAGTTCATCACATGCTTTAAAATGCATACTTTCCCAGAACCAGGAGCACCAGGGGCAGATGATTATGACAAAAGCAAAAGGAAAGTTGTTTTCTTCCCTCCCTTTCCACACCAAGACTGCTCACACACATCCCCTTGCCAGCTCAGCTTGCTGCACAATAGCCAAGCCAGCTGTCTAGCCGGTGTAATGCCCTGGCACGGTCTCAATAGTCTTTGCTGTAATGCAGTGTATACATACAAACATAGCAAACTAAAATAAGGCAAAATAAATAGAGGTGTCAGATTTACAGGTTCCCCTTAGAGATTCCTAAAACCTTTTTTTTTTAAAAAAAAATCATTTAACCCCCAAACAAACAAACAAAAAAAACCCCAAAACAACCAACCCAGAAACAAAACTGAATATATCATGTACATCATCAACTGTACAACTGATCTCCTTTCCCCTCACGGAAACTCCTGACACAAACTTTTCCCGTGCAACCCAGCTCAGAGCATGAGCTTTCCTAAAGAAGAGGAAAGATTCAGCTAGTGGGGCTGACTGTTATGGAAACACCTGCCCCACAGTCTCCCACCAGGGACCCTCGCGATTCCTTTCTCTTCCTCAGACACTGTGAACACGTTACAGAAATGCTTCTGAAGGACACTCAGGACGTCTTCCTAGAAGAGATTCTCTCACCCCTGAACACTAGTCCTACTTCTGCTCTCGCAGGGAACCAGTGCCTGGACAACAGCTGTGCTGCAGGGAATGGAAGGGCCTTTGCTGCCCTGAAGTCACTTTACCTCGTAGCATTTCCAGAGACATATGACCAACTGGGAAGAGTGACTCAGACCAAAGGGAGTGGAAGGGGAAGGGAGTTCTTCAAGTCTTTTCTAGGATCATCCTAACACAACCTGCTTAAGAACAACACAGAGACACAGAGGTGAGTGAGCACTAGACTTCTAGGGACAAAGTCTGGAGAGTTAAAAGGTATCTCCTCTTCTAGGTGTGAAGAACTTCATCATAAAGTTAGTAATGACTACATTGCTGCAGGAAGCAGAACAAGCCCTCGATTATACCCTTCTTTCTCACATCTTCTCTTCCTCCACTAATTTCCAAAGACAGTGTGATTTCACTTTAAATGCTGGTGCTAGGCACAGGTACCAGGACAACAGCAGACCCTAGCTCTTCTTCAGCTGTCAGTGTGATAAAGCGATTACGCCTCAGTGTTCAACCTCACAACTGCTTGCTATACATGCTCAGGCTCTGCTAGAGGACAAGGAATAAGATTTTCATTTCTCCTTCAGCACTCAACTCTACCACAACTGCTGATGAAGAACAGAGTGAGATGAGAAGCAAGGACAATCTTGGCTTCAGGAAGAATCTGACTCCAGGCCCTAGAGCAGAGCCAACTTTTTTCCTTATCTTCTCTGTGGTCAGCCTCATCTTATACAGGCAGACCTACTACTGAGCCTCTCCGCTTGTCACCACTTATATGAAATCACCACTTGCCTCAGTGTATAACTGAGCTTTTCCAAAACCCTCTTTATGAATGTTCACCATGGAGTCAAGAGCCAGGGCAGACTTGTCCAAGCCTTCAGCCACCATCACAGATTTAAAACAGAGGTCTGGGGCATTGCAGTGCTGAGAAAATTGAGGTGCAATGAATGAGGGGCATGACTCTGAGCTTTCTGTCTGTCCCAGTAAGTATCCCACAGCTGATTTACAGGAGTTGCACAATCTCTCACTATTTGTGTATGAGTCAAGGAGGTGGCAAAACTACAGCAGCTTTCTTTGACTCTGTCAGTGTGGCCAGAGCACCGCGTACCATCACACAGGAACTGGGGTTCAATTGTGTACACAAATGGACAGAGGGATTATCAGTCTCTCTGTTTTTGCTACATTTGTGGCCTGGCAAAGTGACTTCAGTTTCAAAAAGCACAGCACAAACCTGGTTTGACAAATACCGGGGAGGGGGAAGTGCTGTATTTATATTCAAGGGTTTTGCCCTGAGGTGTTTCTTCTCTGACAGCACTGCCATGCTGACAGTCTGCTTTATCAAACAAGTACCTGGGGAGCAAGCAAGCAGCTGTAAGTTGGACAGAGCCATGAGTCACATCATCTTGCACCAGGGCTGACCTTGGCACTACACCTGAATTTTTGGGTGAGTCCTAAACCCAGGGAGAACAAAGAGGGGGAAAAAACTACAGTGTTCTAATCCCTAAAGGCATAATCTTTGGAATTCATGGATTATCCAGATCTCAATTCAACATACCAATTTGGCACATATTACCACCTCTCATATGGCTTACATGGTATAGGTTATATGGCATGCTTTAAAACAAGACAAACAAAAAGGGCTGGGATATAGCACGTCTACTTCAGGGAGCAGCAAGGAGCTTGTTAATATAATTTACAAGAGATATTTCTAAAAATCCATTTTGTAATTTAAAATAAAAATGCTTTAAAAAGTGAGAGTTTTTCTTAAACTTTCAAAAACCTTTACGAAATACAGTCTTTCTTCTACAAGGTGCTTGTGTCCACTGTAGTGGGCATTGCTGTTAATAGCTAATCCCAGAAGGGGAGTGGGATAGTAAGGGAGGAGAATGCACCCAGCTCTTGTAAGATACCAGCTCTTTACGATGAGTATTATACAGAGGCGCGGCAGTCTGGAATGTTGTAAATAGGGAAATTCTGGGGTGGGAGACTGAAAATTCAGTAAACAATGAAACATTAGAGTTTAACAATTCTGACTTTTTTGCTTCTTTCCATAGTTCACATAATTATTTTACTCTCAAAGTGTTCAGAAAACCACCACAGTTTGCTTCTCCAATATCGGTAGTGTGTAATACTGATCAGGCAGCATGCATGGCAGAGGAAGTTCTGTTCTGCAGACTTGGTGCAGAGCCTGAGGTTATGTGACATTCAAAGAAAAATCAAACCAAATGATTAAAGTGACAAATAGAGCTTTTTTCACTTCCCTGGGATTCTTTGATATTTTGTGCTGTTGCCTATTGGTGCATAGTTTGTAGGTCCCTCTTCTCAAATGTTCTCTCTTTTCCACTTTTCTTCCTGTCTAGGAGAAAGAATCCATCACCACTTCTTTCTTTTCCTCTTTTCCTTGTCCAGGGAAGATAATAAAAAAGGAAGACAAGATTCAAAAAAAAAAAAAAAAAAAAGCCCATGACAGCCTACATAATCCAATCCCTTTCTTAGCACCACGAATACACACTGAATTCAGGCTTCTTGGGGTTCTTTACTTTTTTCACTGTGTGTTTCCTATGTGTAGCCTAAATAAATTTTTTTTTTTTCTTATGAATTAACCCATCTCCAAAGCCTGCTTAGCTTACACAATTCTGTGCCCTCCTGGAAAATTCTGTTTTCATTATTGGACCCTCTGTTGGTTCATCCCAAGTGATCCCTTCAAAATGAAAAAGGCTGTGGGCTCCAAGGCTCTCCTTTGACACCATTCATATCTTACTGAGTTACATGATTCCCCTAGGTAGGAGTGGGGTGTGAAGGTCAGCTTGTTAGAAAGACCAGTTCCTGCCAACAGCAATCACAGCTAGCATCAAGTGGAAAGGAAATCTCTTTTTTTTGCAGCCAGTGACCCTGTTTGTTTTTTGCTACTTGTGACCTGTGGATGACACCAGGGAACTCCCAATTTCCATTGGGTCACACTAAGAAATCTTGCACAAACAGGTAAGAAACATTCCTCTGTTTCCCTCCCACCCTCCAGCAATGCCAACAGGCTTCCGTCATACACCTGTAACCCCAACCTGGCAGTGGCTTGGTTTTCTAAAGAAAAGCCAGAGCTTCTTTCTAGAAGATGCATTTCATAGCTTCAAGGCTCAACCATCAACAAATTCCAGAAAACTGCTTCTAGAAAAGCAGAATTCAAAAGGCTTTTGAAAAGTATTTTATGTTGATCCTGATTCTTGAACTTCAATTTGTTCCTGAACCTTATTACTTCCTTCTGAGCATCACTTGATTAGGACAGTGTAGGCCACACAAAAATGCTACACAGAACATGAGATCAAAAGCATTTTTCAGGTGCTAATCAATGGCTTATAAAATCCAGTTTTGGAAGGGAATTGGAAACCTCAAGAACCACATCTTGACAAGCCCCTGAAGGCCAATCTAGATGGGGAAGAAGCAACAGGTATTTACAGAGCTGCTCTGAAATTAGTCTTGCTTGTTATCAGCAAGATGGAGATCGTGACTAGCTTTCACTTTGGCACACAGAAAATTATCTTTCTCCAGCTGTGAGGCAGTCCACAAGGCCCAAGTACTTTCTGTCATCACCATGAGGCCTTTGATGACACAATAAACTCCCAGAAGCAAATCTGTCAGCTTTGCGTGGCCCAGTCACAGGCCCTGCTGGTTCCACAGAGGCACTTTTATAATGGTTCAAATTAGGAGCACAGAAGAGGGATGAGAGGAAAGCTGATCATGGAAAGGTAACGTCTCTAGCCACAGACCAAAGAAATCCTTTGGGGCAGCTGTCAGCCAGGCGCCATCGCACACATTCGTCTTCCTTGTTTTGCACTTTTTCAACACCTTCTTTTGGTTGATTATTTTTCTTCCTCTTGTCGTTAATAATTTAGCTTTGTCACCACCCGCTCCCGGCTTGTCTCTAAGCCTTGGTTCCCCGAACGCTTGCGGTTACGCTTGAGCTTGGATAAGTCTTTGTCAAAGACTTCACCCGACCTTAATGCTGACACCAGGTCATCAAACTCCCCACTCTCTTCAGAGATGCTTCCAGCTTTCGCTTTCTTTTGTCGTCTCTCTTTTTCCCTCTGCTCTTTTAGCTGTGGAGAAAGACACAGAGCTTTAGGTTCAGCTAACCAAGATGCCAGATCACTGCCAAGAAGCAGCTAAGATGTACAGTTTAGGGAAAAAAAAAAAATAGAGATCAGGAGGCTTATCCACAAGGCCATTGCCTGTACCAAGAGCAACAGGCGACCACGCTGGGCTTCTCTTCTTCTGCACAGGCAAGCAGAGAGCAGGAGAGATGAGGAATGAGCGACATTGTATGTTTGCCTCACAAAGCACTACCATCCTGGAGCAAAAAGGCCACGTGGGATTTGTCTATTTTGCTGCTGTTCTGCACTAATTTAACAGTAGTATAGTGCCAGCAAAGTAGCTGTGCCAAACGACAGTCTACAAGTGATGCAGGCATAGGTAATTACTCAGCTTCTGGGACGACACTTGTAGTGGCCTTAATGGAACAGCAGCCACTATGCTGACAATACCTAACCTAGTGAGTTTAAAGTTAGTTTGGATGTGCCTATACAAACTACAGTCACTGCTATAGCCAGAAACAGACTTGTGCTTGGGACACCACTAGCTAATTGACAGGCACTAAGGCTGCAGTCCTGCAGGAGGAAAAGAAGAAAGGAAAAACCCCAGAAAGCCACAAGCTAAATGTACTGGAGAACGAAAATTGTGCAAGATATCAAAACGTCAACAGAAACCCTATTCATCAAACAGCTCATGTTTGTATGGAGGCAGAGTGATGGAGTGATGGGATGAGGAAGGCACATTGCCTTGACTCTGGAAAGAGAAACCGGTTATAAACACAAAGAGCAATGAAACAGAACTGCTGCTTTTACAAATCATTGTATTGGTCTGCCTGTCAACATGATGCCCTTGGTCTCCCTAGAGTAGCTCCAGGGAGCTCAGTTACTGCCCTCCACTGCTCAGCTCCAAGATTAGTGGAACTGGGAAGGGGTGGATGTGACAGTCAGGAAGCAGGTCACTTGCTCTTCGCACTAGCCCCACGTTGCAGGAATACTCCATAAGCGAACTGCAACCTCTCTCATGGTGTATTAGGCCTACAAAACCATCTTTAATGGTGGGCTCCTGCACTTTCCAGGCTGGCTGAGAGGAAACTTGAGCCTAAATCCTGGCATTTTATCCCTCTGTGGAACATTTAGGCAGCTGGCATCCTGGCGTTTTTACCCCTCTCCTCTTCTGAAAGGCACAAACCGGTGCTTTTGACACAGCAAACGTTTAAAGCAGCAACTCCCCACAGCGAGGCCTGGGGCCATGGCGGCAGGTGGGATTAAAGCGCCGGCGGCGGCGGGGGAAAGGAGGCAGGGGCCTGCTGAGCCGTTCTCAGGCCTCGGGGAAGGCTGAGGTTAGAGGCGGGGGCTGGTTCACACGAACGCCTGGGGACACACACATCTGTCTCCCAGCAGAAATCAACGACGCACAAAAGCTCCCTCGCCAGACGCAGCCTCAGTAATCAAGGCGTAAGGCTGGCCGGAGAGAAATACTGCCAGTGTGGGCTGCAGGAGGTGCCAGGGCATCTGTGGTGTCACTGTACGCTGTCAGGCGACAGGCATGCAGCAGACCGTGATGGAGTCTGAGTGGAAGCTGACCAGCTGGCAGGACTGAGGGGGATCTGGCTCCCAGAGCTTTTTCAGAGAGCCTGCAGCCACAAAGCAGGATAGACTGGCACTGGGCAGAGGCAGCGCCATCCTGCAAAGTGCCTGGGCAGAACAGGCAGGGCTAGATTTGGTAGGAGCCAAACAGTATGCCCTTGAGAGCTAGGAGAACAGCCAGCAGGAAAATGGCATCAGTTTGTGAAGCAAATGATGCCAAAGCAAGGTGGTAGGGACAAGGACATAAAACAGTGGCAGCGACAGGGCGTGAGCATTGGAATTGGCGCTCTCAACCATTCTCTCTTGAGACATGAAAAGGCAGTGGAAGGAAACACCTTCCTGTGCCCAGGTCCTCACCATGGCCTCCATGCGTGCCCTGCGCTCCTCTTCTTCCTTTTTCTTCCTCATGTTCTCCAGATCTTGCTTGGCCTCTGCAAATGACTGTAAGAAAGTGTCGAAGATGCCAAAAAATTCATCTGGCTGCATCTTGCCCTCGCTCTCTCCAAAATGCTTCAGTGCCTTGGCATACTGTCAAGGGGGCAGAAAACACAAGAGCAAATTTAGGCAGGCAGTTTGGTGAAGACAGCAAGGAAATCTTATGAGTAACCGCACATATAATTCAATACACTCTGAGCATTCATACTCAGAGCAGAAACTACCCCCTGGCAAAAGCGCCTCTCCTTAAGGCAGGTGCATCTGCTCTTCTGGATATCCTTTGGGCAACATGGGGCAACAGTGCTGGAGAGCACTAGCTGTCCACTTACACAAGAAAAAACATGTTCAGGGTGATGGAGTAATTTCAGAGGATGACCATCTGGCCACATCTCAGCTGCAGATGTGAGACAGCAGGGGCATGGAAGGCAGTGAGCTAGTTGGAGAAACAATTAGGTTTAGTCCATCCTAACTACCAAATGCGTAGTTTTAGATTATCCTTTCCCCTTCCACTTTCCCCTCAAATCCACTTTTAAAATGTCAGGATTTAGAGGGTTTTTTTGCAATAATGTCAGTCTGTCCTCTCAGGAGCCTTTTGCCATGTCATCCATCACTCTGGAGTCCTCTGAGTCAGGGTGTTGCCTGGGAGAGAGGAGACTATAGACAGACATGGCATAAGAGAGAGGCAAGGAAAGCAGCCAGAGCTCCCGGGCAGACTTAAAAGAGAGTGAATACATCACAAGTGGCTTTTATTTTTAAAGGCAAATGCTGAGGCTGCAGGATGCATGTGGAGGCAGCCAACTGGCAGGACTTCAGTCACAGGGCAGTCCTGATTGGGATATGGTAAATTCACAGCAACCCCTGACTCATGGACATCAGTTCTGCAGCAGTTGTACTCTCTTCTTTGCTCTCTCACACTCACAAGCATGCCTCTGTACTCACCAAAATGCACTCAAATGCATGCACATACAGTTTGTCAACAGCATGTATGCATGTGTCCACTAAGTCCTATGTAAGTGTATACATCCAAAAGCTCTATTGCTGTCCAGCCACCTTCACTCACACACCTCTGTATTGCAACAGGCAGCACCGGTAACACACTCTTGACGGCACTGGTGCCCTGATGCACAGCTCCCCTAGCATTCCCTGCTTCCACTTTAACACATCACCACTGAGCAGCAGAGCATCCTTACAGACCTCAGCATTTACCAAACCAAAGCCCAGACTTTCCCAGGCTATGAACTGCCTTGAAACTCTCTTGTGCATGTATTCAGCTCATACAAACAAAGCCCAGCTTCCCTTTCTTTAGGTGTGGGTGCTCTTTCAGAATGGAAGACAGTAACAACAGTTCAGGCTCCAATCCCAAGCAGAAAATTAGTTTGGAAGCAGGTTTTTGAAACCCCTCTGGCCCAGTACCAGGTAAAGCATAAACAATGTGTCCCTGTCAACTGCAGGGGGAAAAAAAATCTCCAAGGAAAGCAGCTTCCTTCTGGCACAGCCTGAGAGATTCAGCATCTCCCCTCCTCTGCTTTCCCTGCCAGGCCCACAAAGCAGTATTGAAGCAATAGCTTCTTTTTAAAAAGGCTATGTTCTCAGCCAGAAACAAACAAAGAAACCCAAAGTATCTGGAAAAAAAAAAAAAAAAAAAAAAAAAAAATTTGAAGAAATGCAAGTTGCTTTTAGCTACCAAGCATGGCAGGAGTTGAAGGAAGCACTACAGCAGTAAGTCATGGAGGGATTTCAGAGTATGGAAACAGCAACAGATTACTTCTCTGTTTTAATTCCTTTTCTCTGAAACCTCTGAAGACGTTTACACACAAGTATGCACACCTACTCCCCCTCCCCACCACTCTCTGTATATATGTATTTTCTCTGTATATAATGTACACATAGTCTGATTGAATATTAGGAAAGTGCAGCAGTCTCACAGTAATCCACACTGACCAGAACCAGCTCTTCAGCAGACAGAATACAGGCTGTCAATACCACGAAGGGAGATAAAACATCTTCATGTGCTGTATTTTCTTGGCGTGCCTGCTCCAGCATGCCAGTAAGCCAGGGAAGCAGGAGTGCTGGAGAAAGACTTCAGCATGGGTATTGCCCCCGCTGCTTGAGCACATAAGAGTGCCTGAAGCTCATTGCTCACAGGACATGTGCTACCTGGAATCTCTTCCCATTTAACTGGTGGTTAACTCCCGTGAGAAATGAAAATAAAGCACAAACTGAGAGCAGTGACTAGAGCTGCCAACTACAAGGAAGGCTTGCCCACCTCCTGTGAAGCTTAAAGTCCAGGGGCAGCCCACAGGAGATAGCTGTTGTACCTAGCAATGAACTGCCTCCGTCCCCTGCGTTCCGCCTTGCACAGCAAAGGGGAGTGAGGGGGCCGAGCTGGTTTGAGCCCATGAATGCCCACAGGAATTTCCTAGTCTCTTAGGGAGGCTGGGGGGTTGAAAAGGAGGGGGTCTTTCTATATACATGGAAATCTCCATTAGAGGGTGGTGTTGTCTACAAATGTTCTGCACGTGACCTGTCACCCAACTACCAGCACCAGCTAGTTCTTGTCACACTGGCACAGGGGCTTTTGCCACTGCCTCCCCACTGACACGGAGAGAAGGAACAGTGTTGCTGTGCTGGAAAGACCCAGCAGCCTGGGAGCCTTCCAGAGACACTCATGAGTAAAAGGTGTTGTGATCTCTAAGCAGCAGCAAGGAGGAGGCTAAGAACAGCCCGTCTTTGGTGCCCTTGTAGCATGGCTTAGTAGGTCACAATCACTTGCTGTAAAGCAGTGAAAGATGAAAAGCAAAAATCTGTGAGCTAGACATACTAAAATAGCTACAAAAGAGAAATCTGCAGTTCACTGAAGTAAACATTCTCCTTCTTTCTCTACTCCCTCCGGAAAAAAAGCTGACTGAGCAGAGGAAGGCAAGTCAGGAGATCCAGCCTCTGCTGCCAACTCTGCCCATGATGTGGCTTGGGAACCCTCTCTGAGCCTTCCTTTCTCCGTTCGTTACAGAGCAGAAGGTGTTGCTCCAATAATCTGATATAGGAAACAGCAAAAAATCAGTTGTCCACATCTGTAGGGCACTACATCAATTCAATGCACTATTTGTAAAGAGAGCCACGCTCTCTTTTCACTGTTTAAATTGCAACAGTCCCCTCTGTTTTTATTACTACTTCTATTTCCCCACAGCTCTGGTTCCGTAATCGTGTGTGCTTTTTCAAAGCACCGGTGCTGGGATGAGGGGCAGTGAGCTGCTAGAGGCAGCCTCCTCAACCCTGGTACGAAGCTCAGGCTCCTACCTGCCCACAGTGGCTAAAACCACACTCCTGCCTCTCTCAAGGCGTAAGGAGCAGCAGGGATTAGACCGAGGTGCTCTGGACCACAGCCTTCTCTTCTGCTCTCCACCACAGAATTTGTGTCACCCTGTACAAATCACTCGACTGCTCCATGGGCAGATTCCCTGCTAAACAGTACCTGCTCTCATGCATGCAAAATGCTTCCCAGAATTTTGTGACACGCTGTAATATCAAGGAACAAGGGCTGAAACTTGCTTACTCCTGAAGTCATTTGGGGACATATGACATGGGCAAAAGCAAGATGGAAAACTGTTTCAGCAGGTTTTCCGCTGTAATATAGGATGGTATCTCTTTTTTTCATTAAAAAATTCATTTCCACACTGTAAGGGCCCCCAAGCTCCATGATATAACAGGTCCACGAGCTCAGTGCCAGCTCTGCTTCCTCTGCCAAACTTTCCACTGAATTCATCCTCTTGCCAAAGCAAATCGTTTAGACAGTTGTTTATTTTAAAAAGCCATTTTAGGAGGGAGAGGGAAAGCGGGACAGCAGCACACACACTCTCTGCTGTGCTTGCCAACGAAATGTTAAACAGTGGCAGAAGAGCTCTGGAAATGGCAGGAACAGGACTCTATGAGGAGGAGGAAAAGCAGCCATGATAAAAATTTCCTGCTGTTTGTGCTGTCTGCTATTGCGGGAGGAGTCAATGCACGAATGAATTATACCATGTAGCCATGCAACATGAACTGTCTTCCCCAGAGAAGTAATCTTGAGTTTGTTGGTATGAATCCTATATTGAGACAGTTCAAATAAATGTCTGTTCTCTTTATGGGACAGATTGAGATCAGTTAATGGAAAGAGCCCGGCCAGTTTCAGGCAGGGCTGGGCTCAGCTCTCCTTGCACATAAATGCTCTTAAAGGATTCTCCCAGGAGTTCAACAGTGACTCTGGCAGCCTCAAAATCAAGATACAGGTGGTATAAACATTTCTGATATGTTAGATGCTGACCTGCCCTGAAGCATCTGCAGTTCTAAGTTACTGCACAACAGCTACATAATTTATTTACCAAATGTCTGTTTCTCACAGCAGGCTGTGGTGCCTGCTCATGCCCTTTGTAACATGCCTCATCTTGACTTCCTGTCTCATTTCTTTTTTCGTTCCTTATTCATTAACCCCAGTGGGTGACAGTAAATACCAGTCCCCCAGAATGAATGACTGGAGTGCACAGCCTGTAATTGGCTCTTGGATTATAGTGTTTCTGTGTGCTTCATAGCAGTCTGCCATTAATGACTATTTTCTTAAATGGATTTTTGGCTTTCAGTGCCTTGCTGTTCTTCAAAACAGTTACTATATGTGTTAAGCTTATTAAATACATGTGCAGAGTCTGAACTCCTTTCTCCATGATGATAAACACACTGCATGAGAGGAGCTGTCATGACAAAGACTGGGAATTGGACACTTGCATTACCTTCCTCATCAGCCTTGCCAGGCAGTAGCCTGGCATCCTCTATTGTGCCTCTATAGAGAGGCCTGAAGTATGATATTCATCACAGGAATGACAATACCTGACTAAGCAGATTTTGTTCTTCTAGGAAGGTCAAAACATTTTAAAACCAGGTTTGTTATAAACCGAGCACAAAGTAGAACAGTTATGAAGCAGCCTAGCGATCTAAGTTAATACCTGTCAATATTTAAGTATGTTGTAAAAATTCATATAGGGCAGATGTCACTTTTTTCAAGTAGGAAAATAAAATTCATACCATGGGAGGTCACTGTTTCTCTACCTGGGCATTTTCATTGCTTCCTTGCAGGAAACACAGGGAAAAATTTTCACAAACAAAATTCAACTCCATTCTGTTCTTTCTGATGAAAAAAAGTCAGTTTTTAATCTGTTCAAACATGTAAAAACTGGTGAAGGATTCCAGGGCACAATTTCACTTTCTCCTGCCCTCACCTTCCAGTTTATGGGAAATGGCAGAAAACATTATCCCTTGATCTAATCTATATATTCCCTTATAAAGTGGTATTGAAAGTGAGAAAAACACAAAAAGAACAAGAACCAGCTGTGCTAGGGAGCCTGTATAAAGAGTTGACCTAAGTTTTCAATCAGTTTTTAACCAAGCCATCTGTTTACTGCATGAAGATAAGTACAGTTACAAGGCTTTCTCTGCAAACATGGATGCCAGCATCTGAGAACCTGGCCCTTTAAATTTAAAATACCACTTCCTCCCCATGGCCACTAACTGTAAATGGTCCGTTTTAAGAAAAAAGGCCAAAAAAAGTACTGGATGGGGTTGTGAAAAATATCCTCCACAGAGAAGGTCAGCACCACACCTTGGTAATGGACTGTTACCATAACTAAAAGGAATAAAGAAATGACTTTTGCTAATACTAAAGACATTAAAAAATTTTCACAGGTTTGAAAAGATAATTTGTATTGTTTTAAATCCCAGCTGAGGAAACATGTGTCTGATTAACTTATGGCAATCAGTTAGCCACATCTATATTTAGAAGGATATCCAACTCCAGCTGTTAAAACTAGGGCTTCATTATTATTAATAAATCAGTGAACCAGACCAATTCTTCCTGGGCTCATTAGGCTATTTTTAAAAGTCCTCCCTCTGCCACTACCTTTTTTTTTTTTTTTTTTCAATTTGCTTTGAGAAATCCAAAAAGAACAGGATAATCAGATGTCTTGGTCCTTCTCTTCCTTTAATTGGCTAGTTATAGTAGGTTTCCATGGTAAGAAAAAAGCTTGTGATTCAACAAGCACAGAGAGCCCATTGAGGTTGGAAGATGTTATAGGCTTTGCAAAGCACATCTGGTTTGTTGAAAATTTCCAGCTTTCTTTTTCCTCTTTTTTTCTTAAAGAAGAAAAAAAAAAAAAAAAAACTTTAAGAAAAAAAGAGGAAAAAGAGGGAGAAGAAAGGGGGAAAAATAATATGAGGCAAACACAAGAAATAGCTCAGCCTTAGTAAGGACAGACAGTTCCCTTTTAGGAGTCCAAAAGCAGCTTTTTGGCAGTGGAAGAGCCAAAGCCATAGGTTGAGCAGCAGTTGGAATGGCATGTGTTCAAACATAGTAAGGGTGTGTGAGGAGAAGGTAGAGAAACGTTTCCTAAGCATGTTATAGTCATTAAAATAAAACATCTCTTTATGTAGAGTGCTTTATGTTGGCTATGTCTAAAAAAGCATGCAACAACTTCCAGACATATTGATCCGTCTGTAGGGAGATTCTTTGATTATTCTTAAAGCGAAAGAATGGCATTTTTCCTGCAAGTGCCTGATCAAGAAAAGTTGTGTTGCTGTGGTGGACACATACTGCTTTGCTGGTTTTTAACCCCTGACTGACCTTGTAAAGAATCTGCATTGGGCTTTTATCCTAGTGTGTGAAAAGAAAGGACCACTGCCATCTGTAACACCAAGCCAAAAGTGGGCAGTCTAAGCCAAGGACAGAATGAATTTGCTTCCAGAAATGTGCACCTAACTATAATGAAGCTGAAAAATTTACCCAGTCATAAAACAGAAGCCCCCAGACCATAGAAAATTGAGCTTTTCTCAGTAAATTTAGTGAAGGCACAGAATGTAAAATATTGGGTTTGTGATTATAAAGCTAGTATAGTGTGAACATTATTACATTGGAAGAGGTTTGAATCTTCTCAAGCGACATGACAACAATGAAATCTTACGCATGTTATTCTCCACAAAATTGCCTTACAACATTCACAAGTGTTAGAGTGCCCAGCTTTGCCTTCTAAGTGCTGTAATAACTACTGCCTGACTGGCATTTGCCAGGGCAGCTAGATCTAGCTGACAGCCAGTAGCTCCTGGTATTTGCAGCTGCAAGTCAGTATTACCTATATTATCTCCACAGCAAGGATTTACAATGAATTACAAAATGACATTACTGCAGAGCAATTGCATGAGGGAGGAGTCTTACTGTTCAGCTTCTCAGCCTGTATTTTGCCTATCCATCAAAATCTAAGGCCTACCAATCCAATGGCACAGGTTTCATTGATAATGCAATAGGTTCCTTAATGTTACAAGAACTGACACCACTGGTGGAAACAATTCAATCCAAAAGAAATAACACATTTGCTTCATAAAGCCAAGCACTTTTAACATGCCAGCCAACAAGGCCAGATTTGCCATTACATATTGTTTAGTTTAGAACTTGCTCTTCTCTAAACATTTTCATATGCTTATGATCTTTTCATACAAATTCTTCCTCATTCAGCCGAGAGACAGAGAGATGAGTGCCAGAGTCCAATCATCAGCAGAGAACAAGCACCACCTTAGTTGTACAAATCTGGTAATGGAGATGCAGACAGTGGAAGGACAAAGTGATCCCAGCAACACCTGAAGAGTAACGTGCACGTGGTGCTGTGTAAGAAGGATCCAAGAACATCGGACAAACCACACATTTGGGATTTCTATCCTTGCAATGAAATGCAAGAAGTAACAGAGAAGCATAAGTGGAAAAGATCAGGTATTCAGGGTTACCAAACTACCCAGGAGGTGCATTTTTAAAGAAAAGAAATGAAGCACAAATGTCTCCAGCTGAATAAGCAGAGTGGGATGAAGTCAGAAGCAGAAGTTAAGAGATATGAGGTCACTATCACTAATCACCAAAGGACATCTTTTTGAGAGATTGCTTAGAAGACAGTTCCTTCAACACTACAGCATGGTCTGGAATCCTGGTACAGACATTGCCATCACAATTTTATGCCACACATGGATAATGTTAAAGAAGATTAGCAAGAAGGGGGCAGGAGCACTGAGCCTTATTTTAATCCTAAAATATATTCTAAATAGCTGTAAACCAGATTAGAAAAAGCAAGAAACTTCAGCCTAAACCACTTCCAGTGTCTGTCATATTTTTCACTACAGTCCCAGCATCTGAAATTGATCTCAGCTTTTGACTGAGCCAGTGAAACCCACAAAAATTCAAAAGGTATTCTTACCTTGTCTCTAGCCTCGTTGAGAAGGTCTTCTAACTCTGAGAAACTGAAACTGGCCACAGTGATGAAATCACTCATGACAGGAACGAACCTATCCCCTGATTCCCTCATGCGTCTCTTCTGATAATCCAGTTCCTGAAAGAGAAGGAAGAGATATAGACAGGCAAATGTCAAAGATTACTCTCTGACAAGGAAGGGAGCAGGGAAGCCCATCTGTTTCACTCAGAGCATGCTTTGCTCCCACTCTGCACACATTTATCCAGAGCTCTAATGCATAAACCACTTTCTCACAAAGTCGAATGTTTTGCCTTTTCAGCATGAGAGGGAAAGTTAAGGTGGGATGAAGGAAGTTCTTAATTACAGTTCCCTTTATCCTCAAACAACCACTCCCAAGAAAGCTATCAACATGCTGAACTTCTAAAGCAACTTCATAATTTAAGCATCAAGTACATGAAACACTGCATTTTTTTCCTATGCAAAATGGCAAATAATAGAGACCTTGGATTGCATAGCAAGTAAATTTGAAATTTTTAATAGTGAGTTTCCCTCCATCTTTTCTCCCATGGTGACTCAAAAGCTGTATTCTTGGGCAAACATGTACACGTGTGAATAATCTAAATAGTTCCTTGCCTTGGATCTCCCCTTGAGTTCTCTGAAAAGCACTAGGTGGGCAGAAAAAAGACATCAAAATTGGTTCTCCCAGCCAAAGGTTCCCCTTTGCTAGCACCCTGATAACCAATAAGAATTAGCTTGGATATCATAAAAGTCAGAGTTATAAACTGGGGCTATTGCAGTAAGATTTATGGGGGGAAAAAAAAAACAAAAGACAACATAAAACCGTAGGGAATTAAGCTCTATTTGTCCACTACCTACAGAAAGAAAAAAACCCCACCATAATGTAAGGTTCTTTCTTTCTGGCTCAAGTTTTGTAGTTTTAAGCAAAGACTGCCCATGCTATCTCTTCCCTTACTCTATTCACCATGCTTGTGGCACAAAAAGAGCTACAGAGCTCCTTGAAATTACTCCATCATAGTAAGACTGGCAATATCCCATGCCTGTGCTTGGTTTGCGTGCTGCTGACAGTCTCATGGGGACAATGAAATCGTAATCTGGGCCTCATCTTTATTCTCAGCTGAATAATCAGTGGGAATGATAAAGCCTTACTTTCTCTGTAGGAAAAGCAGCATGAAACAGCAGGTCAAGTTACAGTCTGACCCTGTGTTCCCTTTGGAAAAAATATTTTTGTGCTGGCTGCAACTCCAGTGACAAGCGTTTGGTGCCTTCTGTTACTGGTCATTAAAATACTGGTTCACAGAGCCAAATAGGTAGGTTTATAATCATCTATGCTGAGAAACTCCTTGCGATTTGCTCCACAGTGATGCAAAATGCAACTTTGGCCATCAACAATCTAAAATCAGATAGGATATATCTTCTGTTCTGATGTGAGTTGGAAAGAGAATGTAACCACTACAAGGAAAGGCCACAAGGCAGAAAATATGTAGGAAAAGCAATGAGCAGGTGGCCGGAGAAAAGTCCACATTAAAGAAGTGCTACTTCCCCTGCCTTATATTACATCCTATTCTCCACTGGTTTTCCTAACACATCACAAGAAACAGTCCCAGGAGCACTACTCAGTTACATCACTTTGCAATGAATTGTCTCTGTGTTACAATCACTTGGAATTGGACCTTATAAGTACAGGAAATATCACTTCACATGCTTCTAAGAATTATCTAAGAATTATGCTTTTTTTTTTTTTTTTCAGTCACTCTTTCATATTCTAAATTTCAAGCTAAATTTAGCTGAAAGTTGCTCTACCCCCTCCCCAAGCAGGTGAGTGTAACAGTTCTGTCATCTTACTCACTGTTGAAAGCTATGGCATTTGGGACTGTTACTGCAGAGCAATGTTTTTCAAAGTAAAATTAAGATTAGGTGGTCTGCCCTTCAGTTTCAAATTCAGTCCTTCCCTGCAGAATAATTCTTCAAAAAAAAACCCAAACAAACAAACAAACCAAAAACCCCCAACAAAAACCCCACCACACAAGTAACCAGCAAGAGTATATAATCAGCCCAAGAACAATGCCAGAGAATAAGAAACTCCTCTGTATCTTCCAGAAGTGGTATATACTAGTCTTAACAGCATAACAGGAGAAGCTAACACTGCTCCTAGTGGGCTGGACTGATGGTTCTCTAGAGAGATGAAATGAATCAGCCATGGCAGTGGTTTCTCAAGCAGTGGCTATGATCTCCTTGCTGTGTGAGAGAAGGGCTCTGCTGACAGAATTCACTTCCTGATTTGGAGAAGACCAAGAACTACTTAGCTATCCTTCTGGGAGCATCCCACACAAAGACAGTTCCATGAATGTCTTTAAAATGAATAGGTCTTATTTTTATGAAGAAGCTGCAGGTCCAGGAAGGCAAAGGGTTAGTAGTACCTTTAAGAACATCTGACTGCGAAACTATTTTTAGCTTTCTATTCTTAAGGGGCCTTGAAGAAACTTCTCAGTCACTGGAGCCAAGGTTGTGGTGAGAACTCACTGGAATGGAATCAAGAATCACACCTTCCCCTCCTCCCTCTTCCACCTGACAGTGATCTTCTATTGTTGCTACAGTGCTGCTTTTTGCACACTAGAAAACCACGAATAGAGCAAGCAGACTGGGAGGTGCTGGCAGCCCCAGATGAAAAACACCATGGCAGGGAAAAGACTGAGAAGGGAAGATGGTGATTGAATGGGAAGGAAAGGTTGCCCATGGAACTCATATATGGGAAAGAGAATAAAAACGGTCTGTAAAGGCAAAAGGACAAATAACCCAATCACAGAAAGCAAAACAGAAGTAGGTACTCACATGCAATGAGGGGAGGAGTTGTCTGTCCCATCCAAAACTGGGCCTCTCCATGTCATAAACTCCATGTCAGACTTCCCTTTACAGATTCTTTTAATTCCCAAACACTGCACTCCATATATGCAACGGTATCTCTTCTCATTGCTGTGTTCTCCCTTACCCCAACAATCCAGAAAAGGTTTGGAAAGTTTGGTATTTTTCATGGGAGGATCACTGGCTAATTACATGATGAACTGCTGGAGACAGTCAGACAGCCTGGGGGCCACTGACAGGGCAAAGATCCCTTCCTCTGCACCTAGAGCCAAACCAAACTCAGGCCAGGTGAAAGGAGAATGAAATCATCACTGGCTGTCCCACTATGGATGAGGAGGTCTGGAAGGTCCTGTTAGTTCCTTGTAGATAGGTAATCCTTGCACAGAAACTACCCAATGCAATTCCCAGTAGTTCCAGTTCAGAATGCTCCCCATTTGGAATGCTCCACTGGCATTAAACTGACATGAGTTGAAAAAGACAAGTGAAATATCCTGAAGACAGAGGGACACTGAAAAGTGCGGCTAATAAAACCCTGTTTGAAAGGGCAAAGAACAGCTAAACATGTCAGGGTCCTTCTTGAATTCCAGAGAGCTCTGCCTTTTCTCTCAGCACTGCCCTCGTCTCAGTCAGGCAAGAGATGCCAGCACCAACCTGAACATAGGAAATTGTTCTTATTCTTGCAGAAAGAGAAAATGATGTTCTTAGGGTCAGAACACATTTATCTGTGCAGATGATGGGAGACATTAAAGGACAGAGACAATAGAGTGACTTTAGCCTTTAATCTTTACTTTTCAGCTGCTGTACAAACACTAACTTGCTGTTCCTCACATCAGCCTTTGTGAGAGGTAGGTCTTTGTAGCTGCCATTTCACAAAGGAGGCAAACACATGGGGTTGTTCAAAGCCACACACATATGTCAACTGCATAAACAAAAGGCAAATATGAGAGTTCCTACGTCCTGCCACTGAACACGGTGTCCTGCTCTGTGCTTTCCCGCCTCAGGAAGGCTGGAAGCTTTCCTCAGGAACAAACCCAACACATAACTGAAGGAGGCTTCTGGGTAGGGAAACCACAGCTGACACTGGAACTTGTGGCTCCAGGGATCATTTATGCCCATCCCTCAGCTTTAACTCTTACAATTTAGGACATACAACCGCATCAATGCACCATTTGTACTGTTCTCTGTCGACATGGAAGGCTCTGAACTACCTAAGTACAAACTGAACACAGGCAACCTACGTCCAGCTTAAAAGGCTTTCATTAATAGCAGGAAAACACACCATTGTTGCTTTGCTTGCCATCTCAGCTCCCTCACATCTTTAACTAGTCTATCTTTGCCTTCACAAGGAGTGCTTAGGATAGGTTACGGTTGCATATAACAATGCACTACCTGTTTACTACTACTCCAAGAGCCATGTGAAACACTTGTTAGGGCAGCCAGCCATCCCTCAGTAAGAAAGAGCAAGAATTTTATTTCTTCTTTCAGTCCATGCCATTTGTCAAACTGTCCTTTTACTTTGCAGGCTGAGATCAAACAAGCTTTTCATTAGGCTTAAGTCTGTTAAGATCATCAGCAGGAGCTCCACATGAGAAGCTTTTATTTGTTTTTTCTTGGTTAATGCATTCTGGAACGGAATGGAAAAGAACGGAAAAAGAAAGCCCACCTTCTCTTATCATAAAATATATAGTGCCCCTGATTCTGAGTGAGATATTTTAAGTATTGTGCGTTGGAAACCTTCGGATACTTACAGCTTCAACAGCTTTCAATCCAGTCTTTATGTTGTTGACTTCCTTCTCCAGCTCTACCAGGCTGCACAGGAGACGGACACAGAGCAGATAAAACAAAAAGAGCAGTGTTACATAGGAATACAGGAACTGTGCAACAGACCACTGGCCCATCAAGTCTGGTATCCAGCCTCTGGCACCAGCCACGTCAGATGATAAGAAATGTGGGGAAGGGGGTCTGATAATGCTCTGTGTTGCTTTTTGTAAGAGATGTAAGATGAGGCAGACCCTGCTTGCCTGTGGTCACATCAGAGATTAGGATTTTCCTGGGAAAAAGAGGGGTGGTTGCCCTCAGAGCATCTGCCCTGTGAGTTGAGTCTAATCTTCCAGCAAGAAGCAAATGCCACATGGCCAGCTTGCAATAATCAGTTGACACATAAGCAAGGAACCCAACTTCAGCACACACATTACTGGGGTCTCAGATTATCTCTACATATAATTCTTGAACCACTAAATCCTCTTAGCAGGACATTTATATATAATTTCTGATTCCTCACACTCCAAACATCGTTTTTTCCATCTACTTTACTACCATATGGTAGTCCTTGCAAGTTTACATTGTAACTGAGCATGTAACTCTCCTGTTAATATTAATACATGCTTCCCCAGACACAAGGGTTGTACTGAATTTCTGCTTATCCTCTACAAACAAGAGGGGTTTGTTTCTAGGACTTGTATGAAAAAAATGACTTTTCATTTCCAGGTAACTAGTTAGTACCTATTTGTAAGTCAGCAGGCATCTCCTCCAAGTACTTGGTGAGTAGTAGTTTACATCTTTAAACCACCACTAAAGCCTTAATAAATGTCTTTAAGTGTGACCCTACATTTATTTTTTACTTGTCGTTCATTAGCTGGAGCAGTTCACTGTACAAAGAAGCACGCCTGGGCAAATAGTATGCAAAGGTATTTTCGAGCAGTGCTTTGGAAAGAAAAAAAATGCTAGTATTTTGGGAGATGTCTTATGTATTAATTTTCTACAAACACCTACGGAAATGGAAAAAAAAATCATTGAAATTTGTGCAAAAAGTATGAAGCTTTCCACAGTTCTGTGCAAGACTTGATTTGTGCAAGTTTGAACAATCTTCCTGAAAAGGCCTTGCTATAGCATCTCTGTGCCCAACTGACTCTGCCTTAGAAACAAAATTTAAATTATCCAGAAGAAACAGCATGTGACTTAGATGAACAAACATAGAGTATGGTGAGCGAATTACAAACAACAACCAGTCTAGTTACGTCTGATTCAGAAATAAAGTAGATATAGGCACATCTGAGTAAAGCTGTCAATTTAGTTATCTACAAATCTTGAATCAAAATTCTCTGCTATTGTACACCTGAATAACATAAGTAATGTGAGCAAAAGAATTACAGCTGTAAGGCTAGTCATGAGTTTAGAAGATATCAATGAAAAAACTGCTTATCATTAAGTTAACAGAAATCACTGGGAACTCCAGCTCTGACAACAAGCAATAGCACCAGACTTACTTGACTTTTGCTGCTTCTGGAAGATGCTGCAACTCAGACTGAATATCTAGGATATCTGGATAGTTCTTCTCAAAGATCATAATTAAGTAGTGCAACAGTGTAATATTCCTAAAAAAAAAAAAAAAAAGGAAGGGAGAAATGAGAAGGAAGATGGTGGTGAGAAGGAAGAGGATGGTGGGAGGATTATGACAAATCAGTGGAAAATATTTGGGCAGGAAATGTGCTTGAATGAACAAAACAAACAATATACCAGCAGTTAGCAGCTCTGTTATTGAAAGAAAAGTATCACAGACTAAAATTAATTAGCCCTTTTATGAACCATCCTTTGTAAAACCTCAAGCAATATATTGTGCCTTGATTTATTCTGGGAGTACTAGCATGCTTCCATCCATCTGTGTAGATGGTGTAACAGAAAATTGTGTAACGCAGTATACTATTTGCCCCCAGATACTTCAGAGAATAAACAACTAAGAGTATTAAAGTGACATTAACTCGTAAGGGAGAAGTGAGTGGTTCCCAGAGGTGATACGGGAAAAAACCTAAGGAGTTAACTAAGAAGAGGAAAAGGTTCTTGAAGATTGAAGAAGTTGCAAAGAAAACTCCTACAGTAATGAAACAGCTATACTTGTAAGTAGTGGTCAGGCTCACTACTACAAAAACAGTGGTGGCTCAAGTAAGAGTGGATAGAAATGAAATGTATGAGAGATGCAGAAGAAGGTTTAAGAAGATTTGTAAAGTAAATGATGAATTTTGCGTCAACACATTTTGCGTGTAGAGAGAACAGCCACACGTTACAGCTGCTTGAGATGGGTATTATGTGGTTAACTGACAAGCAAGACAGCAGATGGCCGCTGTTCCACACAGACTGAAGCCTGGGAACTGGTTGGGAGAACAGAATCTGCACAGGACATTTAATATAAGGGAAATCAAGCCAAGCTACATTACGGCAAAAAAGTGTTCAACACTAGCTACACAAGTGTTAGCCTTGGAATATAGAAAGGACATTGTGGTAGTCAAAACAGAGCTCTGTTAGTTCAAACTCTATTAGGTAGGGATGAATTTCATATGGCTTCTTACTGCCATTATTCATTCTGTCACAGCCTGAAGTCATTTCACCACAATTATGGTCTCAGAAGGTCTCATAAGTCAAGGAAGGTGCGAGTTAGTAAGAACCAGTATAGGAGATCTCTAAGGAAAACTTTAGTACTTCTGGAACCCAAAAGTGGTATTCTCTCTCCAGTCACAGCTGGATTAATTTCCAGAACCAGTGTGGGGATGTGGGGCAAAACATGGGGTAGCACTATAAAGACCTCCAGCCCATGTCCATAAATAGTAAGCTCCACCCTCCCAAACCCAGCTATTTTCCTTAACTGTTCTAGATGCAACCAGGCTCAGTCTCTCTGAGCTATGCCTTGTGGTTCCATTACTGGTGTAGGTAGAGAGCCAGTTTATGACAGTCCTGCATCAGAAACACATGCCATGTTTCACAGGAGACATAAAACTGTGGTCAAAGTATTTGTGTTTTCTTTTTTGCAAAACCATGGCCATAAAACTTTGGTATAAAGGGCAAATTCCATAGAAATCCTCCTCCCTGACAAACTTATTTCAGTTCTTTGTGAAATACTACATTTTGTCATCTTTGCATAGTGTTGCAGAAACACAAGCCAACAACAGATGTGCATTATCCAGAGAAACAGCAGAATTGGAGTGCTGTGCTAGTAGCTGGTCTTAACTGCTGCAGGATCCTTTAGCGTAAAAAGCACTACTTAAATGCCAAATAAGACATTATCTTAAACGGTCTACAGAGCTAAAAACAAACAAAAGCCGCTTTGATTACTATGGTAAGAGATGCAACAGCACAGTAACTACTTAACTTACGGCCTTCTAGCATACCTGTCTATGCTGGATTTGGTGTCTGCAATTTTGTTCAGGCTGGAAACTTTGAAGCCATAAGCACTTCCCCTTTGGCCCTTGTTCATATAATTCCCAAAGGCCAGAACAACCTCCAGAAGTTGCCTCAAACGCTTGCTTCGGATGAGTTCTTTGGATGCCAGAAGAATGGCTTAGAAAAAAAAAAAAAAACCAAACAAACAACAAAAAAACGAACAGGTTATTGCACAGTGTCTGTTTTTAACGTGTTTGAGCCCATAACTTGAAGTACCCTAAAATTCCCATCTGACTATTGCCCAGCAAATACTGCAACACAGTCTGTGTGTGTACTGCCCTTCCCCCACCCCCATGCCCCAAACCAGGACAACTGGAAGGAAGATGCACTACATCTAGCCTGTAGGATGCTCCTCTGAGCCCAGGAGCAAGGCTGTTCTGAACCTCACACTCTAAAAACATAGCAAGGACAGGGAGGAGGCTTGATCTCATCTGAAAATGCAGAGTAGAATACACTCACCTTTTCTCTGTGATAACCACAGATGTGGCACAGAAGCAATACACCCCCCCTCCTTGTAAATTACACATTCCCAGAATACCACCGTCCTAAGACATTTATTCTAACTGCCCCATGGAGAGGGAAGGTGCAAGAACTTGAGGGTGAGAAGGGAAGGCTGACCCACAGAAAGACTACAAAAGCTTTTGGCAGCTCATCACAGCCTGGTAGCACACCTTGACATCTGTCAGGTCATATATGAAACTGACTTAATAAAGTCCATGGGTGCAAGAAGTGTCAGACAGAATTAATTTCTTGGCACATGACATGTCTTGGACTCACTGGTTCTACAACCATAACACACATGTAACAGCACCTCCTTTGAAGACAAGCCTCTCTTGACCCTCCCTGCCCCTCTACCCAACTCCTAGCAAGAGCTTTAACCATACCTTCCACTTTTGGTTTTGCTTCTGCCAGCCTTTCTGGAAACTTCTTCTTAAAGAATAATGCTTGCAGCCGCTGCTGATAGTGGTCAATCCTGCATGAAGGGTAGAGGAAAGCCAACACTGAACTGGAATTGTATTTTGAAGCCCAGGGCCAGCATGCTACTTATATAATGGTTGGATGTTGAGTCTCATAAGGCCTATGCACGGGATTACGAACATAGCTCAGACATCTAGCACTACATAATCAACCTTGTTATGAAAATGGATGACCTCAAGGCATGTTTTGATCACAACTGAAGAGGAGATGAAAGAATTCTTATTACTCTTGAAATACAAGAGTCATGGAAGATGCCAGCTGCATCTCAATTAGCAGAACAAGATGTTAATCCTGATCAGGGATGTAGCAAAGTTGGAACAAGAAAGAAGGTCAGAGCATGACGAGATGGGATAGCTGAATGGAAAAAGGGATCTGTATGAAATCCTGACCCCTGGCTACACTACATCTAACGGTTGGACCTGAATTCCTTTTTGCGTGAACAAGTTTAGGCAGAGGAGGCAGATTTCTGCTTGTCATCAGGGGACTGGTCCTTAAATGACAGCATGGAGAGTGCTTATCATCAATAAAAAGTTTGTGTAATAAACAGAAACATTTGTGGGCTTCTGGCAAATGTGGGGTATAATGCTGGCCCAAAATCTCTTGCACATTCCCACTCAGTGCCAGACAATCCATTTTCAACAACAATTACAGCTGCTTCCAAGAAGCCCTGTGTGCACTTTCCCATAACATATCAAACAGACCTGCTCATTTCAAAGAGGAAACGATCCGCCCGGGCCATCCGCTCAATTTCGTGTTTATGCTCCTCCAGCAGGTCAGTATCGCTCTTTTCAGGAACAAACTTCAGCAGCTAAAGTGACAGATACAAACCAAACACCGAGATGAGAGACCCAGCGAAAAGGAGAGAGGAACAGAGAGGCACAAACAAACCCTGATGGGGAGAGAGAGAGCGCCCCCGGACTTCTCTGCTGCCATGGGGAAGCATTACATTGATTCAGCCGTATGACCTTAACTTTAAAAACTGCAGCTGTGGCTACAAAACTGACCTTTTTTAAACCTTTGCTTGCTGTTCTGTCTTTATCCCTCACTGACCCCAACAGCTTAATTTTTAATTCTATGGGGAATTTCCCATTTCTAAATCCTAAAGGCCAAGTGCTACTGCAACTTACCCAAGGGGAAGTACAGAGAGAACTTTGATTCCCACAGCATTACTTGTAGTTTAGATTGGTGCAAACAAGAGCAGGATGTGTCCCATTCAGTGTGAAGTACCCATCGTGCCTATCCTAGAGTACACACAAAGCCTCATCTATCTCTCTCGGGTCTGCCATACTCTGCTGAAACAATAAACAATAACCAAGCGCCTGGATATGTGCCTGACACTGGCTTCTATTCATATGCTGACCTTAAAAGCTCATACTTTGACAGATTTTTGACATATCTGGTGGTAGTTGTGCTTTAGTATGGTTATAAATATTGCCATGCACATAGCCTCAGCCCACACCCACCACTTTTTAATATTTTATCCCACTCCTAAAAATGTGATATTCAAAGGTGTGGAGCATCAGAAGCTTTGCAGTGATGTCTCGAGCAGCTGTGAGCATTCAGATAATGTGATAAGTAGGCTATAAATTTCCAAAATGGAAAAGCTTTTTTGTACACAATTAAATACTGTGTCTCCACACAAAGAAGTAATCACATTTATTAGGCAGTTCAGGATTATAACATTTTGCATACTCCTAAGGAATTTTATCATGTGCATCTTTGGTTAAAGCACCGTTTTTCACCCTCTATAAATGGAGGAGATTGGGCAGTGGTGGTTCAGCTGAGGGTTTTTTCCATATAACCTATACATTGAACCAACTGCAGGAAAGAAAAGTCCCTGACTCCTTTTTTAACCATTCTAGTTAGAATGCAAGATCCCTTCTAGTACCGGCTCTAACCATTGACCCATATGGCCTGGTTCATGGCATTTTCCAATGGAAAAGCTGCAGACAGAGGTTTAAAAAGAGAAAAGAAAAAAGAAAATAAGAACAACAACAGAAAAATAATCAGCAGTATAAAAAAGGGATAGGAAAAATTATAGGAAAGTCACAGGTGAGAAGGGAGGACAAGAAAGGAAACCTCATACCAACTGTAATCATGCATATCTTGCATCAAGAAGAGAAAACTGTTATGAAATCAACCTGACACACAGTTACATTGGGAAAGATACTTTTCTCATGCTCCCATCTGCAGCTCTGCTGACATGATAGGGCCAAGTTCAGATCTGCACATATACCAGCAGAGCCAGTACATGTATCTACTTACTTTAGGTGAAAAAAAAGGCAGTGAAGGACTTAAGAATAAAATATATCTGACTGTAAACTTTCTTACCTGCTCAAGCATATCTTTTGCTAGGTCTTCTTGTTCATCCATCTTCAAGATTGCTTGTCTGATTTCTTCATTAGACAGCTTCAGCCTTTCAACAGTATCAACATTGTACCATTAGTGCAAAGCTTAAGTGACTCTGACAATTCAGAAAGTAGGAAGACTGGAAAGCTGAACTAAAAAGGCACAAAGGAACCATAGGAAGCTCTACGATGAAGTTACTATTCTAGAATTGACAGCATCTACGTATCCACGTTTCATATCCAATATGAAAAAAGGTCTGAAAACACAAGCTTATTATCTGAGGTATTAAAATTACACTCTCCTTCCCACCTACTCCTGTCCATCAGTGTGTAATGAGTAGATGTCATCAGTCACAACAAAACACAGAATGAATAAAAAAATCTCTCAGGGACTCCACCTGAAATCCAGGGTAGATCAGGAGGAGTCAAAATTTGTGATTATTGAGAGGCTGTTTGATAGATTACATGAAATGAACTTGGTGGTTCTCAGTGCAGATGTCAATGAAGAAATGCACAAGTGACAAATTTCACCCTACCCCCCTCAACCTAAGACACCCTCATCAGTCATTTCAGGAGAGTAGGGGAGGACCAAATGAACCATAAAGAAAAGGCTATCTGCAAGAAAATCTCAATTTTGGGACTGAAACAGAAAAGTGTGAAAAGAAATATTTGAGGAGTGAAGTTTGTAGTCTCCATGGATCTGCTACAATCAATATAATTAATTAACAGCAGAAAGAGAAAATGCAAATATAAATGAGAGACAGACTGATGCATGAGGCAAAATGTTTTTGTTTTCTGTGTGAAGAAATTCCAGGTTGAAATTTCATGTTGCTATTGACATTTGGATAGAATCATATTTTTGGAACTAGGTAAAAGCAAAAGAGCGAGCTTTATTTTTACAGACAGGAAATATTACTAAATCTAAGAAAATTAAAACATTTTAATATTGCCCAATATAGCCAACAGCTGGAAACTAAAATATGAATCAGCATACATTCAAAAACTTTTAAATATTACGGGTCTGAACTAATTGCTCTCACTCTCTTAGCTGGTCATCGTGTCTGCTTTTGACAAGGAGGGCAAACTGATATCAGCTAAGTAAGGTAAAGCTATTGAACTTCCAGAAAAGCTACATAATTGGGCCATGCTTGCATGAGATATAAGGACTACAAGTTTTATAATGACAAGGCTGGAAACTTTTCACTTCAGGTCATCAGCTTAACTCAGGATCAAAGCAACAAACCTGAGTACATAGGGTTCTGCAAAAAGCTCTACAGTCTCAATCGGAAGAAAGAAGGGTTTCTTTTGGTTTTAACAATCATGAATTATAAAGTCCATAGTTGTGTGACCCTGAACTGATCAAACCCTGTGACCACGTCAAGGGAGAAGCATACTGGTCAGCGTGGGCCTGGCTCCTAGCAGACACATACACACATGCCCAGACAATTTGGTGCCTGCGGTTTTTGAAAGTGTTTCATTTTGTTGATCACCCTTTACTTTTTCTAGAATCTGGAGTCCACAGATTAACTGTCTTGTAACACAGACACACAGTCTGTCAGAGGGGCCTCAATAAACCAACCCATGAACACCAGGGTGGGGATTTTTTTGTTGCTACTTTCACTGAGGATAAAAAGAATGAAGGTGGATTTCATGGGTTTTCCATGCAAATAACTTGAACAATTATTACGCTGAGCACCCCATTATACAGTGCAAATATCACTGTGTGGGTTTGGGGATGCAGTAAACGTGACCAGATAGACAGGTCTAAAGTACGTCAACAATACAGAAGGTGTAGCGCGTATTATTGCTGATCTCGCTGTTCCATCCAGGAGTCCGAGGACTTCAAACTCCAAGCTCCTCTGTTTGCTGCCATTCATCAGCACTAAATACACTTTGAAACATCGTCTGTTCAAAAATAATTGAGAGCCCCAAGGACAGACAGTTATACAAACACTGATTTCTTGGATGATCCTGTGCCCTGCCATCAGCAGAAAAACATCTGGCTTGAATGGTTTAGCCCACAGTAGAGAGGAGCAGAAATCTTGCCAGCCCCCTGCCGAGAAGCAGTTTAACTTAGTCACTTACAGGCCTGTAACTGGGTCATGGTGCCTGCAGATGTGCATCCTAGATTATTACCAATCCTATTACAAGTACGGAAGGATTTACAGTGAAACAATCTTGCTCTTCCAAAGTGGGCCTGTGCTTCTTCAGGGGCAGGAGGTGTTTCAAGAGCTGTAAGCAGCAACAGCACAAATGGGGGATCTTCCCACTTAAAAAGTGGCTGGATAACTGGCCAAAGAATTGTTAATCAAGTGATTCTTCTTGTATGTTCAAAAGTCATACCCAACCATGCAGTAGATCTTAAAGATGGTCAGCAGTAACGTGAAACAGATGTGATGCTTTTAAACAGAAACAGGTGAACTGATTAAAGAGGAACCTAAAGCAGATGCGTAAAATCTTTCCATTTAGAACCAAGCAGAGGCATCCCTCAGACCCTAAAATTCATATGGGACAGACAGCACATTAAAGGGGAATTATGGCCCAAAAATTTACACTACAGAAATTACATTTCAGTATCTATTGGAGAGTCTGCAATGACTTTCTTACAAGATTTGCAGATCTAGACACACTTCCTCTAGCTGCTAGAAACTACTAATTTCAGAACAGTGTACGATTCAAGCTGTATTCTCTCTGTTTTACACCACCAAATCACAGATCCTGTCATCAGAACTGAGGAAGTAAATGTGACCAGAAGAAAACACGGTGCCCCTTTCCTCAGCTGCAGCACATTCATTCATAGCACAGATATTGACTGTATTGACTGTTTTTGTTCAACAGCAGCCTAACACTGGTCAGATGAGGAAGGAAAGGGATCTTTACTGAGAATATTCCCTCCTTCTTCCCTCATCCGTACATCTGGTGGCAGCATATGGAAGTCCAACTGCTTGAGTCATCTTCAAGCAATGTTAAAGCTCAAAAAGTACCAAATAACTTCTGATATGGTACTTAGCCTGCCTCACTCTATCCCCTCCGGCTTCATAAATAATCTCTATTGACTCTGCAGAGTAATTCATCACTAATCTCCCCAGGACACCTCGGCTGATTTAACACCAGCCCCACTTGCAGACATCAAGTGGTTTATTGTTTCGTCCTCTTGGAGAAAGCCGTCAGCCTGACTCTGAACATGTCTGGGAGACATGTTGCAGTTTCACATCAACTTCTCTTACAGACATCCAGTGCTCGCTTATTTTTCCTCCTTAAATATACCCATTGATTTAACTCACTGTAGCCTCCCCCCTTTATCCCTCCCTCCTATGGATCAAAGCAGCATACTTGTTGCTCATTAACTATCTCCCCCTCAGAGGAAAAAGTGAGTTACTTCATGAGCTTGTTCCTTGGATCTTGCTTAGCTTTTGAGAAAGAAGCATGCTTGCCTACCACCACAGAACCTGGACTTTTGTTGCAGCTATACTAACCTCCCATTCCACAGGGATCATAATCTCATTCTTTTTACCTTGAAGGGGACTGATTATCAGGTTATCAAGGCCATTTTCTACTTCAAACTGAACTGAACCAGTGTTTCCTAAAGATGTGAATAGTAGTAGCTGTGACAGTGAGAGGTACTGACTGATACTTAGCTGCAGCCTAAGGCCAGTTTGTATAGCTCACTCAAATCTTAGCTTTTACTGACTGCAGAGTTCTCCATCTCCACAACTCATTTCACACAGGCTACTGGACAATTCACTTCCAAACTTTGTGACTGGGACATAAGCCTTGTCTAATTCTTGAGCTCTCCTAAGGCTCTGCACAACTGCCAAGCCGGTGGCTGTTAAATATCTACGTTTTGGCAATACTCATTGTCACTACCCCATAAAGGCAGGAAAAGGAGATGTTTCCTTTCTCTTAGAAGAAGCATTCACGAGTCAGGCTGGTCTAACCGCATGTTCACTCAGAAGACAGAAAGATGCAGCCACACTTTTCACATCCTCTTAGCTGCCAACCCATCTCATCAATGAAGAAGACAGTGCCTTTACCTTTCGGGGACACTACTTGGGACATTTTACCAGGTACCTCTTACACCATTGTATCAACACGTGAAAAAATTCATCAGTGCCTTTTCAGCACTTCACTGTTAAAGTATTGTGCCAAGTGCATAAAGAATCAGGCTTTTATTTTCTTTTCCTCCTTCAGCAAAAGCTCACAAGTGACCAAACTACTTTGCATTCAAATACTCACAATTTCCTACCAAGAAGGATCTGGGGATGGCTGTCTTCCTAAGCCAAGCAGAGCAAAGCATGGCCAAACTTGGGAATCCCCAAATTACAGTGATATTGATGAGGCAGCGGTTCATCTTTTATCGCAACCCTACCTACTGGTTCCTAGTTGTAATCTAAGACAGGATGGCACTGACTGATACGTTCAGTTTAACCTTGGGGTTTACCATACTCAGAATAACAGATGAAGCCATTTATTGTGGACTTTAACTTTAAACCAGAAAAATGTCTCTAGGAACCCAGGAGACACTGTTTATTGCCTAGTGTTTTCCAAGGCAGCACACTGAGGAACTGAACTGCTGAGTCCAATGAGATGTTTCTGTATCATGATATGATCTGTACTCCAAAATAACATACTGCGTGGAATCTACCTTGAAATATGGGTGAACACTTTACTGTCACATGGCAGAAAGGTACATGGGGACTCAGGGCACAGCAGAGGCAGCACATGGAGACTGACAGTGGCTGAATAGCTTGTCCTCTTAATGTCTGAACCAAAAGGGTTTAGAAACACTGAGGAGGCAGAATTATGTGAGAGAAATACTTGGTCTCTTTAGTATTCTGGTTGGAAATGCTGCACAAGTCCTTTTTCTTCTCCCTTATTGATAGATGTTTGAATTGACAGTCATGAAAGCCACAAACATTTGATAGAGTTGCCTGCTAGTATCTAGTATCTATCATATTCACATTTTAAACTATTTTAAACTATTTTTGTGTTGTCAGATTCTGCTTTCTTGTGACTTCTGGTTTTATGACATTTTGCTATCACTCCTGCTGTTTTCAGCCTCTTGAGAGGGTTACTGCTGTCTAGCTGGGCCACAGAAATAACAAACACATTTCAGAAGAACACTGACATAATGATTTTGATGGAATTCATGCAAAATAAATTGCACAAAAATGTTCCATAATTATATGTTCAGCTGCCTTCTGAACAACGCGTCTCATAGAACTGGACCTCACCAGAGCATTTCACAGAACAAGGCAGTAAATGATACATGTCTGAGACATGTTCTGCAAGGACCATTTTATGTTCTGCAAGAACATTTAAAGATATGCTACAACAAAAACACTAGAACAGCGACAGTACTACCCGTTACTTAAGTAATGGAGGCAGGGAGAATCCATACTGGTGAGAGAGGTCAGAGAAATTTCCAGCTGCTATGTGAAAGCAGGGAAACACAGGGATCTGGGATGACTCTTCCAGACCACACATGTCTGACAGTAAATCTTCAGCCTGGTGGAAATTGAAGACATCAGGAAATTCATGAGGGATAGCAGATTTCCAGTGTGACAGAAATAACTGTATGTTGGAAACACCATTAAGAAAGCCAGATTAGAAGCTGGTGGGTGCTTGGACTCACCACAGACAGATGGTTCCATGTCCTGGTTGAATTATGGCCTACTGGAAACACTGTGAGCTAAACAGATCTTGTGCCTATTCAAACCTTTACAGTTGGCCTATGGGAAAAACTTCATTTTGGAACCATCAGACTCCATTAAACAAGGACAACTACATCCTTCCACTGCAGGAAAACTGAAAGATACTGCTATCAACTAATTGAAATAGAGCTTTTTTTATTAAAATAGAGATGATGATGCAGAGAAAGGCTTATGAATCTGTTAACTGTCAACAAAAATCAACTAGCAATTCAATTTTCATCTCTTTTCAGTCTACCATGCTCCAGTCTCTCTGCAAAAGAGAGCAAGAGACATCTATTTCTACCCTAGCTAGGTTTTGGCTTGTTGGATCATATGAAATATGAGCTCTGCCTGACCCCTTCTAACACCGTGTTAGTAAAACAAAAACATTTGAGTAGTGGAGGGAAAGAAAACCCAACCCATGGAGCTATTTTACTTTAAAGGACACGACAGTTTAGTGTAAACAAAGGAGGAATAAACTACAGGGATATATGCACAGTAAGAGTCAATTGGAAACAGCTGTTGGCAGATACTATGGCAACCTAAAGGCTGGGGCTGCAGCTCAGGGCTGCACAAACTCTCTTTGTTTGTCACCAGTTTTAAATCCCCTCTCATTGCACGTGTGTGCACACCCACATGCACACATGTGTAAGGTGTGCTGCAGGAGCAGCAAGGGCATGGCAGCAGCCCGGGATGATTCGGCTGGGAGCATCTCTCCTTCAGGGTTTGACCTAAAGGAGGAAGAAGTGGCATAATGAAAAAAAAACTGCAAAGGGGTCATAAAACCCTTTCAATTATTCTCTGCAGCCCATCCTCCCAACTGCTGTCTTTAGTAATAGAATTATATAAACCCAAAGAGCAGAAAAAGGCATGAATGTGCAGGTGCCATTTTAGTTCCCTAAGATTTTTGCTTTTCTAGTTGCATTTAAAAGGGAAGCTTGGGGAGGAATAGCAATCCAGGGCCAAGCTGTAAGGTATTTCTGATATCCTGGGCATGAGACTTAAAAACATTAAATGATTGAAGCCAGTGATAGCTCTGGTGACTGGTGTTTCCCGCAGTGCAGCACAGTAAAGTTAACAGAACACAACGCAAACGGGAAGGCTCCTTAGGGACAGTGAGCTCAGTCTCCAAATCTCTGTCATCCATTTTAGGCCTTCTAACAGTTAAGACCAGGATATTTTCTAGTGGAGAAGTTGACAGTCACAAACCCTAGCTTTTCACCTCTGGTTTGAGTCCAGACTAGCAGCTTGAGGTGGATTGGCTTCACAGCACACGTGGAGCGACCACACATTGTGTACCATGAAGTGCAAGGTTCATGCTTCAGTGACACTTTGCTGGAGGCAGCAGAAGGGAAAACAAACTACACAGGCTGTCCTTTCTCTCTCTCACCATTTAGAGAGGATTCCCCTCAGGTAAGAACGGGCCAGACTTGCACAGCAGAAGAAGTGAATACTGCAAAACATGTACTGCTGCCATCTCTGCTGCTTTTGTTTTGGAGACTGAAGATTTTTACAAAAAAGTATCTAGTGTCATACTAAGTCATGGACCATGTTCCTGCACCCTCCTCAACCCAGCCACCTGCACACATTATGTTACCACTTCTAGGAAATGTTCCACCTGCTTACATGAGTTAATCCGAACCCCAGACACAATTTAGCAGGTCTGTCAAACAGCATGAAAATCCTACTGCCCCTATGCCTCCCCATTCCTCTGCCCCAGCCCTCAGTCAGCTGCCAACAGTTGGCAACTGCTGCAGAGAGAAATGTAAGCCCTTCCTCATTGCTGGTTTGGATAGTGGGGGTCCTGCTGACATGCAGGGTAATGCCACACAAATAGCATAATGAGAGCCTCCATGAGTTTCACTAAGCAATGGAAAGAACTCACTCCAGTCCTGGTGGTCTGGCCGCAGATTTGCTTTTAACTGTTAGCTTGCTAGAGCAGACAAGCAATCACATCCATATGAACCTGCATTTTCTGCTTATCAACGGAACAGTTTTATCGCTCAACACTGCCACAGCTTTCCTAGGTTCTGTCTCCAGCCCTACTGTTCCTCCTCTGGTAGGAAAGGAAACTTTCTTAGGTGGATCAGTGTCTGCACAAATTTGGTATTTAGTGACAGATGTCCAGCCCAGTACTCATGTTGGGAGAAAGACATGAAAAGCATATACAGGGCCCAGATGTCACAGCATTTAAAGGCAACAGTCATTGCAGAAGCATGCAAAAGCAACTCCTGGCTATCAAAACTTAATGTACAAATATAAGACCTAGTTCTTGAATATATCTTCTTATATTTACCACTCTTCTCACAGAGTCAAAAATTACAAAGATGAACATCAGTCTCAGATCTGCTGTATTCCAGGGAGATGCTCAGAGCAACATTTAGAAAGAGACACAGAGAACAGAGACAAATGACATACACAGAGCATGGGAGGTGTCACTCAAAGTGAAGTGCAAGCACTGCCAAAGAGCTTTCATCTACCCATGAGTACTGATAGTTTTCTCATGATGAGTCGAGATGCATTCTGGTGTTTATCTGTTTAACACACAAAATGTGTGTATGAATACATTTACTAAGCAAGCTAACATTTCAGAGAGATGTGTTTTTATGAATGCAAGAGAGGCTTCTCTGAAGCTCTGCAGGTGTTAGACAGCAGGTCTAGCTGGGAAAAGAGACATGTCCATTCATTTAGTTCCATCCCCTCTTGCCTCTACACTGACCGTGGCATACCCCTGTGAGCTAAGGCTTAGCACACTTACTTGGAAAGGAGAATGACACAATTCTGGGCCCTCCGGCCATCAATCACAGAGAGCTCTTTCACCTTTCGTGTGGAGAGGTAAAGGTCTTCTGTTGAACCCATCTCTTTCTGCATATAATTCAAAAGGGAGGGAAAACAATCAGTATTATGTTTCTCATGCAAGACTTAGCTGAGTGTAATGAACAAAACCTGTTCCAACCTGGGAAAATCCACCCATGCAATGAGAAAAGGAGACAGGAAGGGCAGAAAACAGGTAGGTACATACTGTATTACTAGATAAACAGAAGTCATTCATTACCACCTATGACATCATTTTTCCAAATACTGGACCTGATTCTGACCTATCAGAGTCACTCTACCAACAGTTACGTTAATGTGCAAAACTGGCATGACAGGAAAATCAGGCACATTATGGCAAAACCCAGTGGTGTCACAGCATATCCTTCAGCAGATGCCTCCTGCAGGGATTACACAGCATTCTTGAAAAGCTACAGAGCAATCAGGAAAAATCCTTCCATCCTCTCTTAAGGCTGCCATGGGACCAATCCAATCCATATTATATGAGAGATGCAAGCAGTAGGGCAAGATGTCATTTATCTTATTAAACATATGTTACTAAATGGTCAACATCTACATCTGAACTAGTCTCTCTTTTTAAAATTAATTAACAACTTTAAACATGCAGAAATCACCCTCTTCACAAGTTCTCTCTATATCCCCATGGCCAAACTCATCCCCTGGAAAAAACCTGGAAAATCCCTGTCCAAAATGTTTGTCACAGCACACAGAGAGAAACTATTTGCAAACCCAGTCTGACATCCAGAAATCTCTGTCTCCTTGTCCTGCCTACACACCTGAGTAATGGGATTTGTTTCACTTCCAGAGATTGACTTTCTGTAGTTCTTCTGAGTATCTTTTAACACCATTGCTTAAAGAAAAGTAGAGGTAATATTAAAGGTGTTAATCCTGGATAATAGCTCTCTAGTTACCAACAGAGAAGAGGGAATTGGAAACAGGACATTTTTTATTTTCCCACCTAACTGCGGCTAGAACCTCTTCAAAAATGCCTTTCCATGATATCCATATTGTCATGCCTTGACATTTTGAGATTTACCATTATAAACTAGCTTTGAATGCATCCATCAAATTAGTCACATGACTTCTTTCTTAGGTCATAACAGCAAGCATGCTGAGTCAGATCAAAAGGTCCATCTAACCCAGTATCCTGTCCCTGAGAGTAGTCAACAGCAGATAAAAAAGGAAAAGTGTAAGATCACAGTGAGCAGTGGTGTTTGCAGAATTCACTCCCAGGACTCAAGGTTCTACAGTTCAAGGTGTACTTATATCAGCACAACTAATCTGTTCCAAGAGATTTTGACACCCATGTATTTGAGAGTTAAATGTAAATCATAGATTCATATTGCTAGTTGTCATCTGAGTTCTTGGTACAATCAGCTGTTGTTCCTGGATAGACAAAGGATTCATACAAACATGTCCAAATGTGCTGCAATGAGCCACCACCAATACTGAGTGGCATTTATAAACAGGTACAGTGCACCAGCTGAAGACATGCACACAGTACTTCTTCTGGATGTGCCAAAAGTGTCTAGCTTGGCAGAAAAAAATTGCAATGTTACTCAATACATCAGATAGTGTTTCCAGAAAAGGAAACATTGGGCATTGGGCAAGTTTATTATTTCTGAGAGAATAACTAAAAATAGCAAAAAGCAGGGCACTACCAGTATAATCCAGCATGTAGAGATGTCAAAGCTTTCCTGAGTTTCCTCAGTTTGTGAGGAGGAAGACAGAAGAACGGGAAGATAGGCAACTGTTAAAGGTAACAAAGGTACTTGGTCTATGCTCTTGGTTTAAAAGCTTCACTATCCCTCACTAGCTAAAGTTTGCAGACAAGGACACCTGCTCAGCGTTAACCAGCACCCATCCCAAGGACAAAGACAAATTGTTTTAGGGTTTGGCTGTGTATGTGGAGTGGGCGTTTAGACAGTTTCCCCTAAAGCCATGAAGCAGGGATTTGTATAATAGTCTCCATGCCATTTCCAATTTCCCAACCCACAAGGTTCAACACAGATGAATAATTTGAACTATTCAGATGTGGCTCACTTCTTGGTTGTAAGGAGTGGACTAGTCTCATCTAAAAATATATTCTCTTCAACTCATATTGAGGAGATATTTATAGATACTTGAAGTTGTGTGTAAGCAAAAGCAGATGAAGCCTCAGGTTTTACTAAAGCCAGATTGCAAGTTTAGCTGAGGGAAAACAGATTGCATGGACTATCTGCATTTTCTTAGACACAGAAAAAGAGGAGCAAGGGGGCAGTAGTGATTAGCTTTTGTGAGATAGGCCAAGCACACAAAGCAAGGATAGTTGGAGCTGTTATCAACCTGATACACAGGATCTCTAAGTTTTATTCCATCAATCTTTACCAACTTTCCATCTGGGATAACATTATGTTATGTGCTTCAAAGAGTATTTCAGATTTGAGACTTGCATTTCAAATTCAAAAATCAACTAAAATTTCAGTACTGGAAAGACTAGACATGTGGAATGTGTTCATCATATTGCTGCCCTGTGTCAAATACAGTTTGATTTTGGTTAGCTGCAAAACTTGTGGTCTGGTACGATGGCAGCACCCTAGGTTCTAGTAATTATCCATACTTTAGGGAATTATTTCTCCCATATTGACTTGTTTCATGGTGCGCACTGCCATGATGAATGCCAGTAAGAGACCCAGAGCCATGTATTAGCCTCACCCAGTGGCAGAGGTCCTGACTAGATTTTCCAGATACAGTTCCCTGAGCACTCATGGTGAGGACAACTTTCTTCTGAAGCCACCAGAGACATTTGTGATAACATCTGAACAACCCTCTTTTGAGAACGCTGCTTTTCCCAAAAGTGTTGCCAAGAGTTTTACTGAAGATGATGAATAAAGTGCTAGGTAGCCAGTTTGAAGACATGTGGGCAGTCTGATATCTCTACTTCATCTAAACACCATTTCAGTCTTGCGCTGAACTTTCTGAGGGCTTTAGCAGCTTGAAATTAAGTAGGCTTTCCTCTAGTCTAATACTTCTGCTCCTCAGCTGACACAAATCCTTCTGCCCAATCAAAGTTCCTTTTGGTTCTACAGAAAGTTTTTCTTTAATAGAAAGTCTGTGGCTAGTGAATCCATCTGGAGACTTCAGTACTGTCCAAAGCAGACAGGCCACAGACAGGAACAGTTGGAGTGAAGGCTCCCAAGAGCCCCTTTTAGTCTCTATTAGAGAGACTATTAATTTGAAGTGTTCCCATTCACTTTCTACTTTGTCTCTGGTCTTTTTCCTCAGGATCATCAAAAAGGGAACTACAGACACCAGCAGAAACCACAGCGACGTTATAGCTAAATAAAAGAACAGGAACTACTTCCTATCACAGAGCTAATATAACTAAAGGGGTTTTTTTTTGTACCACCTTTCCCACCCAGGAAGCAGAGGTGCATATGAAAGAGTAGCATGAGATGAGTCACGACCCCATAAAGGCATGGTGCAGGACTTCACCTTCCCACACAGTGCAAGAGGATCAGGAGGCAGACAATGATACTCACCTGCTTACAGGAGGAGGGGTTAGTTAGCAGATCCTATGCAGACAGCAGCCGCAAGTAACGAAGAAGGAAACATGCCAAAAATTAGTCACAGAGAAAGATATCAAGTTTAACGAGGCAGCTGAATTTAGACACACACTGTTTTCTAAGAGAATAAAATGCTTAGCAAGTAATACTGGCCCAGATGGTTCAAAGGTATTTCAGCATTTCTTTGCATATTTTAAATTAGCAGATGTTGGGGAACTAGGAGTTCTAGGTCTTTTCTGTCAAGAATAAATTCAGTCTCCAAAGCACAAATCTCTTAGGTCTTGAAACATTAGCTAGGATAAAGCTTAAATACTTTTACAAATCTAGTCCGGAGCCTTACTGAAAGAACTGCCAAGGTTAAAATCTGAGAGCCAGTTCTCCTCTCCTGATGCACCGGCACAGTTTGCCATTATTAGTAAAAACTTGTTTCAATACCATGTTATACCCTTTAACAACTTAGAGCCAAGTATTTTGAAAGCACTCTGTAACCACCAAAGGCTTACAGCACTACTGGGTGACAGACACCAACTATTTCACAACATATTCTGTACTCCAGGAAAACACTAGATATACTGAATCAAAAGACAAGTGTAAGATTTCTTGGTCCAGAATTCTGTACACTAGACAATTCTGCTCTCCCTCACAGCCAGTCAAAAATTATATACTGGGCCTGAGAGAGGAGAAGAGACCATTTGTCATTAAAAAAATGAAGACGAAAGACAATATCTTTAATGTAAATGAAACTTGAAAGAATATGATTATGTTAATAACAGCAAAAAAAAAAAAGTATTTATCTGTACTCATTCAGCATTTCAGATGCAAAAGAGCAGGGCTTTGCATTGACATTTTTATTTACAGACATTTGGATAAAGTTTAGAAGTCACAAACCCAGGGTAAACATACACTTGGCCAGAGTGGAGTATTTCCAAAAATAAAAGAGGAGAAAAGACTAAGTGTGAATCAACTGTAAAAGTTCTCATAGGCTTTTAATTCAAAAGCAACTTTGGTTGCCTGGTCTTTAAAAAAGAACAACTGATGAGGACTTGTTGATTGTAATCCAGTTCACACTGAAGTGAGTATGGATGAAAAAGAAAGCATTACATAAAGTAATAATAATGGGATATTTAAGGGGAAAAAAACCCAACCAAAACCCTCAACAGAAGCTGGACAAGCAGCAATACACCTAACTACACAAAAATACGGGTAACTTATGGAAATGATTCTTTATTGTCTGAAGTCACTGTTATAAAGTGTGTTTAATGAGGATGGAAGAGAACTGTTCTGAGACCCATGGAGGTCACTGTGAGATGATGGCTCCATTCCAGTGGGCAGGGGTAAGGGTCAGGTTAGTTTACAGTTGAATAGGCCAAGCTGCTTTTCAGTAATTGGTAACACAGCCATAAATACTATGATTCTAACTGAGAGTCAGCAGACCAGTACAGCTCTGGCTTTGGATTTTGGGGCCCAAAGGAAGCAAGGTTTTGCAAGGGCATTTCTAGTGACGAAGCTGCAATGTTTGCACCCGAAACACTGAAATGGCACCCTGATGCTGCAATGGCTGCTTGTGCACAGATGACAGTCTGGCTACTTGCAAAACAACTGGGAGCTCACTACCATAGCTAAGCTGTTGGCACAGGGTCTAAATCCAATCTTGTAACAGCACTGAAGTTTCACGTACCTTTCTTCCCCTGTGTGAACTAAATTCTTGTTTCAGGGAATGGGATTCACAGAAAGAGAGAGGGACCTAATAAACAGCAACAGCTATTTGCAGGAGCAGAATGAGAAATGAAATCTCATCATGCAACGGGTAACATCACATTCTTCACAGTTGAAGCTGGGATGCTTATCTATATGACTGTGAGCTATTAAATCAGAAGAGTTATTCATTATGTTTACTGGATTAGATAGAAAAATGAACAAGAAAAGCAAACAGATGGAAAGCCCAAAGACAAGGGGTTGGTTTGTTAATTTTAAGGTACTGAATAAGTTAATGAAGTAGTCATCATCACTGTAAGGCTTAATCATAAAGGCTCCTTATGGCAATCATGCCTGTGTCTTTTCCTAAAACTTCAGAGCAATGATTCAATTCTGCAGAGTACAAAAGATTGAATTTCTCTAAACATATTTCAAAAGCAAAGGAAAGCCGGGGGAATTCAGTGAGTGCAAGCACAATCCCTCTACTGCTTAGTCTCATTCAGCAGGGACAGACAGACTGAAGGTGACTTGCTTTCCAAGAAGAAGAGGAAAAAAAGACATTCTGATAAATGGCTGCTTTTAAAGTATGCTATTTGTGTTATAATCTGTAATTCAGACAGTTTCTGTCACCTAGACAGTTAGGTCAGTTGGCTGTTTAAGAAAAAGTAGGCGAAGTGAAAGACAGCTAATTCAGCCACCTCACTCAGTACTTGGGCAACTATGGACTTTTCCTTTGGATGAATGGGAGAAATAGAAAGATGGATATCAAGCATGAATGTAAAGCTCAGGAGCTTTTGGAAGCCAGTGCCTGCTGAGATCAAATAGAGCATTACCTGTTGGGAACTGTTTCAGAAAGCTGCCCATTAGTATAAAGTATGTAAAATACAGAAGTTTATCCTCTGCCCTATATGTCCTCCCCGCTTCTTTTGGTCTTGTGATGTTTTGAATGGTGTCAGAGCAGCAAGTGATGCAGCCTCAATGCAGGTGGACGAGGGCCCAAATTACTGTCAAGTGTTCTTTCCTCCTCCAGAAACTCAAGGAAGACAAGGTGTGGAAGAGTTCACCCCTACCTGGTGTCTCTGATATGCGGAGAACATCTTTTCAAAATCTTCTAGATCCAGCACCTTGAATGCCTTTAAATCATCAATCTCATTCCAGATTGTGCCATGGATCCTCTCCTGAAAGAAAAGGTCATGTTTAATGAGGTTGCAAAAGCTTTTAGCTAAGAACATCCAATTCCATTTGGACAGATCATACTCTCCTGCTCACTGGCCATTTTCCTGTATACTACTGATGTTATTTTAGAAGGTACACTTTGTTTCAAGAGTCAAAGGAGAGAAAAATAGTGGTTGGTTGTGTTTTTGGTTTTTTTTTTAATTTTTTTAAACACTGAGATTTGTATTTTTCATCACAGCAAGCCTCTGATGAAAGGGCACATTCCAAGACTAGCAGACCATATCTCAAGCAATATCCATGATCCCACAGTACATTTCCTTCCAAAAGTGGCCATCTGTCCAAGACAACGATTGTGGTCATGGTGAAAAAAGTGTTACCATCATGAGGAAAAAGCTTATGAAGAGCACTGATGCATGACAAACCCCAGACACATCTTCCCTTCTGCAAATTTTGCCATGTCCTGTTGTAAAGTCCAAAGGGTGTGTGGTTTTCTTTCTGCCTGCCTGTGAAAGTAGTTTAAGATTTTATCTTATTTTACTTTTAAGGTTCTGAGTCTTTGAAGTCTAATTGTTTCCTATTACATGATCTCCCCTGTCTACATGAGTTGTTGACTCAGACACAAACTAGATCCCTGAAAGAGCATCATCCACACTAACTGGAAATGTTCACAACCCAAATGATACATTATCCTGAATGCCAGGGAATCCCAGCTGCTGGCAGATGATTAGGCATGGAGAGAGACAGGCACAGACTCCTCCTCCAACTTTGCTGTCCACCAACCCTGGACTAAATAAACTCTTATAGTACATGGATTAGCTAATTAGCAGTCATTCTAAATTAGAAGGGTTCTCCTGCTGACATCCTCAGGACAGATGTCCTTGCTGGTAAAGAGGACACAAAGGTTGAACTACTTTATCCTTCGTACTGACTGTTAAGGTGCATGCTGTGTGGGACAAGCTTTGGGTAATCACCCATTCAGAAGAGTAAAACTTGATCTTCACACCTGACAATGCTGTCTTTCAATTGATTTAGTTAATGAAGTGTACATTTATTGCACTTTAGTAACTGGAAAAACAAAGAAGGTGCTGATTAAAAGAAAAATTAAATGAAAAGAATAGATTGTAAAAAGACCTAAGCAAACCCCAAGACATGAAGAGCCAGCAGAACACTGATGCAGTGAAAGCCAGGAACAGCAAGCAATAGCAATGAAACCCTCACGCAGGCTCCAGCTCTGAAGTACCTGACTTGTACCTATGCAGCAAAGTGTGTTAACACTTCATTATCAGAACTAATTAGGAACAGGCTCTACTTCCCATTCACAGTCATCAAAGGAATGAGGGAAATGTGCTAAGCCACAAGGCTCAAGGAGCAAGGAAAAAACCTGATGGGAGGATGAAATGAGGGGGAAATAAAAGTGTGAAGTGTTCTGGAGGAAATTCCTGGCAAGGCAGACACTGTGGAGGAAAACCAACACCCTCCCCTCCAGAGGCAGCCTGTGAGTGCCTGAGGACAAGGAGGGGTGTCTGCAGTGCTGCAGTCCTATATACAGTGAGAGCATACACTACTAGATGGGAGCAGCACCCATCCCTGAACAGGCTCACCAAAATCATTGTAACATTCCTTGCAGTCAGTGGGGCTCTTCTTTCCATAGTAGGAAAACCATCATGACCATGTGACTATAACACGAAAAACGAGTTTGGAAGGCTCATCTCAGCCAAAGGAACAGGAGACAAAGTTAATTTTCATTTTATCCTAACCTTGGACTCTACTGCCAATCCTAGCCAGAAGCATCCAGGCAGAGCGTTCATTCTCATTCAATTACCAGGCTGGCTTTATAAACCTTGAATTATAAATCCTGAGGGATGTATTTGAAAAGCGGGCCAGTTCTCTGAGTTCTTCACTGTTTCAGATTATCCTCTTAAACACTGAAATGGAAGAATATTTCTTGATAGGAGGCAGTGGACATGACTTCAGGAGCAGTCCTTAGCCTCAGGAGAGGTCCTTAGAGTCATCACTGGGATAGAGCCCTGAGCCGAAAAGCTACATGCTGTGTTTGGCAGAAGGCTGGATGTGACGCAAGAGACAGCTACTCACGAGAGTTTTGCCCATCTATCTGTCCGGCTACAAAACTCTCATGGGACTGAAGTTTCCCCACAAATGGCAAGAACAGTGAAAATGTGCTACAAAACAGGCTAGTCTGAATGAACTGCAGAGGTGCCAGAACAGGCAGTTCTGAGACTCACAAACGGAATTGCAGAGAGTAGTTCTCATCCATACTTGCCCAGAAAAACAATCCAAGGAAGTGAAAATTATATCAATTCAGATTCATTTAAGACCCAGATTGAATCTGGTCCTGTACAGGATGGTTTATGCTACTTGTAGCAGAAAGACCAATTCCAAAGCAGCACCCATTGTAATGGTGTGCACAAACAGAACTTTGACGCAAGAAACTCAATATTAGTGCTTGAAAATGAAATGGGCTAATCCAGTCAAAGCAAAAATGAGACAAGCAGAGGTGTAAACAACCTTTGTTACATAAACCACTTGCAATGGTGCTGTTCCTTCTATAGATACCCTAAGCTCTGCCCTTGAAAACTTTCATGTTGCTGCCAGATAATTTCCTACACTGGGGTCTTGCTACTCAGTTATGGATTAACCAGCTGATAGTTCCTTGTCATCAGCCAGTGAGACTGAGAGTTGTAAGAGAAACAGACTTGCATAATGTGGTTGCTATGATAAATGACTCTCTCAACACCATAAAAAAATATTTACAGTCCCTAAATAACAATTTAAAAATAAATTCTTTATTTCTTTTTTTCCTTTTTTCTCTCTCCTTAGAAAAAAGAGAGGTCACTTCATCTGTAACACACTTTTCTCCCCATATTTATTTATCAATTCACTCATTCTACAAGTCTTCCAAGATCTGTGGTTCCTTTGCTTTGCAAAGTCTTGGCTCCCTTTGAGAAGAAAATCCTATGAACTATATTTCCCAACCTCCTCTGGCAAAATATTATTATCAAGACAAATATTGACAAGGCATTTGCTCCATCAAGGTGAGCTTTTGGTATGTTGCATTTAACAATTTTCTCACTGTAGCTGCTGCAGTTGTCATTCCATTCATTGCAACAAAGCTCAGTTTGCTGAAAGACCTACCAAGATTAGAGAATGACAGTATTTCATAGAGCTACAAATCGTATCAAGCTGCTACATCCAACAGATGATTTTATTTACCCTGAAAGATAATAGTGATACTCTGCAAGCCACCAAAGTCCGTCATGCCTCAATAACCTCACAGCATGAGTGAAAACTTTGGGAAAGCCTTTTGTTTGTCCTGCAGGTCCAGAGAAACCATAAAAACTATGAGTGTCTTGTGAATATAAGCAGACAATACAGAGCAGACAATCCTGTTTATTAGTAGGTTAATATTTGTAAAATAGTAGCCATCAAAAAGTGAAGCAACTTAAAATTTTAATTCATAATTCCATTATGAATCTGAAAAAGGATATGATCAGTGTGCATCTTTCAAATCTCTCTTGATATCAGATCCTTTCCTCAGTGAAAGAAAAATCCATTTAGAGCAAAAATTGTATTTCTGGCATGTTTGTTAATTAAGACAGCTGTTTTATCTCACTGTAGGACTAGGCACCACCAAGGCTATAATGAGTAGCTTCACACTGAGATTTTGTAAAAATCTTTCCATTAATTTTGAGTCTCTGGCAGCAGTCCTGCATCATTGTTTGCCATGATCCTCAGGCTGCTTTTAGGAAGAAAGTTCCAGAAATCAGAATCATCAGTAACAATACAGAAATACTTATAAAAAAAAATAAAACAGTGTCAAAATTAACATTTTCTGTTTATGTGAGTGGGTTTTGGGGGAGTTTGGTGTTTTTGTTTTTTTTTTTTTTCTAAAAAAATCCTATGTGAACTATGTAGAACAAATATCTTTCTTCTGAGACAATTTCACCCAGGTCTTTTTAGGTCTGGCTAAAAATAACCCCTTTCAGATCATCAACTTACGAGTCATTACCAGCCTGATTCTTAACGGGAAGCTGCTTTTTCAGCCATGAGGTAACAAGCAGTACAATTGAAGGTTGACTTGATTTACACTGATAACTTCAAATCACTATGGTTATATTTATTAAAGAGGTAATTACATTAATCCATACTTCCAGTGTGCTTTAAACCAGTCCATCATTTGGTTTAACCATAATTTCTGGTCCCTGATTGACCTTGAGTGGTGTGTAAAATTCAGATTGAGAGCACACTCCACTTGCTGTCCAGAAACAAAGAAAGGAATCTTTCCAGGATATTACAGTGGTTACATTGCAATATCTTTTTCTTAAAAAACAGACATCCTTGGCACCAGCACTACTATAGTGCTGTATGAATGGAATTCACAGACAATGTTACAGTGCTGTATGAATGGAACTGTGGTGTGGAAGGGCTTCATCAGAACTCAGCCCATCCGTGCATCTAAATGGCTTTGCCACTGATCATCAGCTCACATCAAAGCTAGTACAAAATTTTTAATTCTCAAAGGAAATTAGCAGACTGTTGGAGTTTACTTCTTAAAAGCACGAATACTTTCCAGTCAAACCTTCTTTTGTGGTGCCCATGGGAACTGCAAACAATCTGCTATTGTCAACTGCTAAGAGTTTGAATATATTTGGTCATTCTCCTAAGACCCAACAGCTCAGTCCTTTCCTTCCAAAGAATAAAATCAGCATTGGGAAAAAAAGGTGTCATATGAATTGCCCTGGAGAACAGCCTTGATTCTGCTACCGAGAAAGCATATTGCAGACAAGTCTCTCTCAGCCAGCCCAATCCACAATCCTCTTGGCCTCTGTTGGCTTTCACTCTCCTGAGGTAGGCTGCATGGACAGAAAGGCGTTTGCACTCATGTGGGCTGCCTCTGTCCTGGCATCATCTTCACACTTACTTAAGAAACCTTAGGGGAGATACCCTGTACTAACTGCTTTGAGTATGATTGTCTAAACTGTATGTAGAGATACCGAAGAGCTGAATAACATATTCGACCTGGCTGCAGCCCTAAGTTTCTGTACAGCTCCGTTTCCAACACTGTGTCACCTCATCTAGCTGTTTTGCATGGTGCAGACATGCCTGTGCTCCTTGCTAACTAGATGGGTCTTTTAAAAAAGAAAAACATATACATGATGTCAGATGTATTTTTCATCAAAATGTTTTTGTGGGAAAAAATTGTATTGATGTGAACTGGAAATTAAACACTACCGTGAACCACAATAATTCTACATGTACTTCCAGGCCTCAGTTCCCATGCTCAAAAACTCCAGATATGTTGCTCCCAGCCACTGTGCTTATTGCAAGTCTTCATTTGTTCGGTAAGTATGGCTACTTTGACAGTTCAGCAGAACACCACAGAAGTACTGCAATGGTAACAAAAGGCAAGATAAGGCCATCCAATCTACCCATGACTTGGCATTCAGAGGATTCATACATATCCATGTGAACAGAAAGAAAGTGCCTGGTATTGAAGCAGGGAATCTAAGATAACTGACAAAGATGACTAAAATGTATTGCCTCCTCTAGCAGTCAGTGGAATCAATAATTCCATAACAAAGCGCAACCCGAATAACAAGGCAAGCCACCTGTGTCTGCACCACAACCTCCACAGTTTTGCAGATACCTTAACAATCTTGAAACACTAACAGTGGCAAACATCCCAAAATGAAGCCCCCACCCTCTTATGACCCTTTTCCCAACTATTCTGCCCTCCTCAAAATAGCATCTTTCACCCACCTCACCACCCAGGTCTTCAATTTTATTAGCACAGCTGCCTTCACTCCTAACCAGAGGGCAGGATAAGCCTACAGTTCTGTACACTAAACAGAAACACCTGTGACACTCTCTTTTTCATATACATTCATATATATACATATATTAGTTATTATTTCTTCACAGCACTAAGTCCAGTGTTCTGCAAAGGAAAATAAATCCCTGTCCTTACATTCTCTCCCACACCCCCCACGTGGCCTTGACAGACAAGCACAGACGGTGCAGCAAATATTTCACTTCACTTTATTTTAAAGAAAAGGAGAGAGGGGGAGAGAGAATTCTTGTGGCATTCCAGAGGTCCCTGGACGCTCATTCCAAATGCCAGAGTTGGGCCCTGGGTGAGTTTCAGTCTAAAAGAGAACCTGGGTTTCTAGGCAGCAGTCCAAACGCAACACAGATGCTTTTTTCTTTCTAAATCAGTTAAAAAAATTAATACCTAAAGAGAAGGGGAGGATAGGGGGAAAAAAAGAAAAAGAGAGAATTAAAAGAGAGAAGTGGAGGGGAAAGAGAGGTAACCAAGGTAGCAGAAAATGAGTGCAACGGGAAGAATCCAAGTCCTCCATTTTTATTGTCAGTTCGAAGTTTTATTGTCAAGAGATAGAGTTGTAACCATGCAAGAAGAATGGCAGCTTCCCTCATGGCTATGAACAAATGGTGAGGAGAATTAGGCCACCCTTCTTTCTTTGGTGATCTCTCGTGCCAGGGTAGAGAAGGCAGGTTTTGGAACTGGTTCTCACCATGTCTTGCCCACATTGGCTCTGGCCATCCTTTTCTGACACACAAGTGAGGGCACCTCTGGCACACCAGTCCTGGAGATGTTCATCTCGGGCTTAGGTATTCAGTCCCACTATAGCTTTGCCTAACCAATAGCATGCCCAGATAGATCTACTACAGCTCAATCTAACCAGCACCTTGGTCATCACAGGAGATATGCTGCACTGCTGGAGAAATGGGGAGACTCCCTCAAGACAGTTGTTGACTCCTACTGACCTCAGCCCACAGAAAGCCACAATATCATTTGCTTCTTTCACCTTGCACTTCATGGCATTAAGCAACACCAAGTTACATTTATAAAGTAAATTAATTGCTGACATTACCACAATTTCTTACCTCACTCAGCTTAGCCCAGTTGAAGGATTTCAGTGGGTGTGAAGGCTGCGGGATCGACTTCTTCTTCAGGCTGGTGCCACTGCTGCTGAAAGCGGTTGTTGAGGGGGGTGGCATCCCCATGCTGAAGAAAGGTGGTGCTCCTGGTGGGGGAGGAGGTCCTCCTGGAGGAGGTGGTGGAGCAGGAGGAGGGGGACAGCTGGAGAAAGGCAGAGGAGGTGGCAGTGGTGGCAAATTCTCAGACATGTGAGAAGATGACAAAGCTAATGGGCCACCTGGAGGGGGGGGTGGTGGGGGTGGGAAGGAAATGCTGCCCCCTTGCTGGAAAATAAAAAACACACAGAAGAAGAAACAGTTTAAAAGGCATGATAACTTCATGTTGCCTGCTGATGTGATTTTATTACGAGTCTCAAAATATTAGATGTTTTCTTTAAAGCCTCCTGCACTCAAAGCCATGCAATAAAGGGAGGAATCTCAGCTTTCATTTAAGAGAAAGTTTCAAGCTCTTGAAGTTATGGAGAAGAGCTTGAAAAAAGGAACCATAAATGGCTCAGAAAAACAGAAAGCTAGTAAAAGAAGCCAAAATGTATTATTTTCTCCTTATGTATGAAAAAAGAGAAAAGTTCAGTCTTATGAACTTTTGAACTCCTGGGTTGTAAACCTTAGGGTTTGAAATACTGAATACCTGTCATTAGGCCCCACTAATGCAAAGTGGGAGAAGGAAGGAGGGAATGAATCTGCTTTCTGCAGTGTCTAACTTCTCAGGGTTGTGTCCTGGCGAGTTGAGACTCAGGCACACTGCCGGGACAGAAGGAGAAGCATGTAGGAGGGAGCAGATGGAAATGTCACTTCTGCAGAGCTGCAAGGCAGTACAGATGCTCCTGAAGCATGACAGGAATCCTGTTTCTTTATTAAATTTACTTTTATATCTGGGAGATTTCTCTCCATTCCACTGAAATAACAACCAGGGCTACCCCACTCAGCAGTAAGAATTATAGCTGGAGGAGGACACATGTGCCTCAGCAGGTCCTGCAAGGAGGTAGCTGAGGAGAAGGAATGGGGTAGCCCATGCATTATCCATTCTATACCACCAGCTCAGGGATTTCAGTCTGAGCTAAAAGCTGAGCAGCTTCTAAGTATTCATCTTTGTAGCTAGCTAGACAGACTCTCTCTGTACTGACCATAGAGAGTGTTTCACTCATAATGTGCTTTTGTTTATCATTCACTATTTAGCAGGCTTTAAACAAGGATGGGAAGAGTCCCAGTCTCATACCGAGAACTCATTAAGTTGAGCCACCAGGTCGTTCATCTGGTCCCGGGTCTGGCGCAACTCCAAGGATTCCTTCTGCAGCTTGTCCTTCATTTTGTTCAGTGTCTTCATCATTTCGTCTTTCTCCTGGGTCTTTGTCTCACATTCCCGCTCCTTCTTCTCTAGCCTGCTCATCAGCTCGGCATGATCTAGGGGGAACAGGCAAGCAGGGCTGATGAAATAAAGCTCATGAACAGTCCCTGAAGAGATGCAGGTTATGCTGAAATAAAGTTGACAGTTCAACTGTGGAAGCATAACAAGAGTAGGAAAAAGAAAAACAGAGTCTGACTGTCTTGACAGTGATCTTCAGTGATCAAGACAGCAATACCCAAGTTTCACTTAGACTATAAAATCACTTCACGTGAAGACTGAGGGAAGCCCTATCCTATGAAACACAAACTGACCACCATGAGACAAAATGTGCTGGAGGGAACAAAGCAGGGTTTGTCCACAAAAGGAAAAGTTCTGCCCAGCTCTGCTGTTTGCTGCTCTGTGGCTGAATCAGGATCAGTCTTGCCTCCTTTTTTGCCTCCCCAAGCACTGAGGATGCACTCACCTTTCCGAAACTTCTCTGCCTGGTCCCTCCACTGCTTGACTTCGTTTTCATTCACCAGCCTGAAAGATTAAATCAGATCATTTAGACTTTTTCTGAGCTACCCAGGCTGAAAAAGCAACTGGCCATTATGTGTAGTGATCAGTAAAATGCAACCTGGGGAATTCACATGTTTATACAAGACCCTACCAGTGGTTAGTCAAGTTCCAGATCCTGATCCTTACTGAAGCCAACACCTAATATAAATGTGATGGCTTGTTGCTCAAAGTCCTGAAAATAAAGGAATGCCTGGCGAAAAAATCCTGATACATTCCTGTCTTCAAGGTAATGCCCTCAAAGTGCCAAGTCTACTTGTTTGAAAAAGAGAAGTCATCACTAAAATACTAATAGTGGTGGTGGGTTACAAATTACCCCACCCTTAAAACAAGACCAGATTGGCATCTTTTTTTGAACTTTTTGTCATTCCATTTTTTCTTTCTTATAAGGAGGGAGGATGCTTATCTATTGGGTAATATATCAGTAACAAGGCAATTCTCATATCTCATACTGGCACAGCTATTTCCTATTACTGACAGAAAATATGCTGGGGATTGATTAGATATGCAGAATAAGGAGTAGCTGTGAAAGCAGAAAGGGAAGATCAGGCATGAGGTCTACAATGAAGTCTGATATCCAGACAGACAGAAAGAGATCAACACCAGGGTATTTTTCCATGACAAGAAATCAGTTTTGATTTTGGCTCATGCCTGTAACAGACGGGACTGTAAGATTTTTAGTACAGGAGAATCTGGTTTCACATGAGGCTTATGTTTTATAAAATCCTCTTTTCAGTGGGTAATTCAGAAGGGTAGTGGGCAATTCAGAAGGGTAGTGGGCCATGAATTACCTTCAGAGGCAGATGGTGGAATGAAGAATCCAAAACTTTGGATAAAAAAGGACTGAGAACAGGGAAGTTGAGATGAGAGCCAGCTCATGTAGCTAGACTTCTCACATGATGCATCCTATGGGAAAAAATACTGGTAGTGCCCTCAGCCAAGTCTGGGTGAGAGCATGCAGACATTTTGTGAAGATGTAAATGGTTTTGTGTGCTACGTGTGGGCTGCTTTGCACTATTTAAGATCTTTCTAAACTATGTGCTCATTAGTAAGGAATGAGATCTAAATAGAGATGACCAATTTTTTTTTTTTTTTTTTTTTTTTTGGGGGGGGGGGGGGTATATCAATGAATGCTTTCATCAACATTCTGAATGAAAAAAGACCCATGAGGAAGCCTTGTTATAAAATCATGGGTACTTTTTCTGCTCTTCTAACCAGCTTAATATTTAATAGAATTTAGAAGCCAAAGGCAAGGACTTTGCTAGAAAACACTGTCTAGTTAAGATGTCATTAGAAGAAAGCTATTTAGAAGACTAACAGGGCAACAAGAAGCTGTAAGTTAAAATAAAAATATCAGGAGGAGTTTATTATTTCCTAAGCACTTGCACACTTATCATATACCTGAGTAACAGAAATAAACAATAATAATGCAGCTTACATTTTAATGATATTTTTGACATTGAAGTTTTCCAATGGAGCTATATCAGGATCATCTCCTCGTTCATCCTGAAGAACAATTTGTTGGAGTATTCTATCCAACAGCTGCCACTGCTGGAAGTTTCCTCCATTCCTCTTATCTGTATGAAAAAAGACCAAGCCATGAGAACTTCCATTTCCATGCCAAAGTGCACAGACCTGCCAACAGAGTGACATTCCTTCCTTTCCACCTTCCATCTCAATCTTGTATGTAGTAAATTAGAGAACACGAAGCCTAACCCCAAACTGTTGCTAGCAGATTATTTACAAACACCCAGCATATTGGAACAGCACATAACAGGCATGAGCAACTCTTTACCTGATTTGCTGCATGTTCAGGCTGTGTAGACATTTTGACAGATTAGCTCTAACTTGTGCTTTAAACATCTACAGAAGTGATTCCTCTGTGACAGCGGCTACTCAGTATTTTCTGAGGCTTGATGCTGGGGTTTTTTTTTGGTACCTAGGTAACATGGTGATCAGGCACTATAAAAATAATCAGATGGTCTGCAGATAACTGAGCATGCATAAAGGTCAGTGAAACTCAACTGGCATGAAAAAAATCAAACAAACATGACCAAAAGTGTGGAGAGAAAGAAGAGAAATTGAGCCAAAGGGTCTGATGAATTACATAACTTAGACTTTAGATACTTTAAAACTGCTCCGGTACAATCTTGTCTTGGTCTTGCAGGATTTAGCCCTTCTGCCACCAATAATCCAGGTCAATACCTAAAGCTCAATTACTGTCTTAAAGAACAATATCAAGGAGATCACTGGGACAAGCAACTGCTTGAATTTGTGCACTGCAGTACTTGAATGAGTGCCTGAAAACATACCATATTACTTTCTGAAAAAGCACATCACAGTACATCTCCCTCATGTTCCCTTCTCAGTTTTGACTGCTCAGGTATGGCTGAAAGTAATGAAGACCAGCACCTGATACCTAAGAGGATTAAGGCAGGCAGTTATGTAGTGATCTTGTTATGCCTTTGCTCAGCTGCTACACTCTGGAAGCATAAATGAAGTATTTTATTACAGTTAACAAGAAGATTCCTATCACTTCTTTTGAAAAGAAATGCCAATATTATTTTTCATTTTGCATTCAGGAGCTCTCCACTGATGCACTGCCATGAGATAGCAGCCTGAAGACTTACTGTGGAATTTCCCAGTGACAGAACAGCTTTCAGTACCGTATTGTTTCACCAGAAAAATTCCTCAGTGCATTTTGTTAATACTCAAAATGGTATCTATTTCTGGGAATTCCCTGATCTAGAGCACAAGGGCTCTTTCTGTTTTGAAAGTTCTAATTTAAAATCCTTAAAAGCTCTGACAGTATCTAAGTGGAATGTCTCAGTTACTTAATTTTATTTGCAAGTGTAGAGAGGTCAAGCTGCTGCTTTAAGTATTGCGACAAAAATCTGGTGGATGGAGTCAGTGTGAGATACCAAGTTCCTCAGCCACTGCCAAGTTCGGAAGGGAAGACAAGGGCAGTGTGTGCTCTGCTGTCTTTGACACTGTACCTATATGCAGTTTTTTAATATGCCTCGCTCTGGAAAGCTGTAAGGTACTCACATGGCATCTGCAGGCAGTGCTGGAGGATGGATAACAAGTAGGGATAGGCATCTGTGTGCTTCAATCTCTTTTTGATCAACTCAAACATCTGAGAGGCACTTTTTGTGTCAATGTGGATCTGAAGTGAGAGAAAGAACAATTAAGAAAACAACATGCACAGTGAAAGCCTGACTAACTGTGACAGATCTGATCAACACAGAGACAGGTAAATTTCCAGCAGTTGGACCTCTGCAGAGTCTCCCGCAATGTCCAGCTGCAAGTTCCAGTGAGGAGCAGGCACATGGGTCTTTGAGACCAGCACTGTGATTACCACATGAGTATGGAAAATATCTCCAAAGGTTAGACAGATGGGAGGTATGCAAACCCACTAAGCTGTTTTGAAGCAAGCAAAACAACTGCATCCTAGAAAGTAGTGGCACAAATAGTACAAGCGAGGCAGGAAAGAGCTAGTTGTTCTGTATTGGTGTGCAGCAAGAACTGGTCATGAAGAAAAAGGAAACCATAACTATTCTGGACCCTACAGCCTCTTACTGTTGCTAGAGCTTGTGGAAACCGTCCTTGTTTTATGCTCATCTTTAAAATCCACCCAGACTAAAATACTGATCCTCTCTACAGGCTCTGAAGTGACAGTCTTCAGGAGACTTTCCTGTAATCTTGGGAAAAGTACTGGAGAAGACTCCAAGCTTCAACATAGTCCTGTAAAAGGGATGTCTGAAACTAGAATGCACCTGGATCAGCAGGACTGAGAACACGAGAGCAGGGTTCAGAGCCTCCTCCATTCCTGAACCTTCAACCAAAGAAAAAAGTCTTTGTCAAAGCTGCCTGGCAGAAGCCCTGTCTGTGATCACTATTTTCATTGTTCACACATCACAGACCCCCTAATTTCTAAATGAGAAAAAGGTAAAACAAGAGCACCAGCCACTCTCAACACCAAAGTCCATCATTGTTTTCAGGAAACTCAAAGGGAAGTTGCACCAAGCATCCAAAGTGGATGTTCACTTTTGGCAAGTTCAGGTACTCCAGAGCAAAACTTACCAGGTCAAACCGCTTGGCAAGTTCCAGGTCATCTTCATTTCTGACCATCTCAAAGAAATCTAAGTGTCTAAGAGAAAACAGAAAAACAAAGCAAACAAAACCTGCCAATGTTGATGGCATAATTCAGACTTAAACTAAATGTGTCACTACAGAAGCTGCAACACCTCATTCCTAGCTAGAACACTTGGAAATTGGCAAGTCTTTCTTACATTAAGTGCTGGGATAGGTATGCAAGGCAACTCATGGGGTCAGTGACAGGCCAAAAGAAATGGCTGGCTGACGTACACATGCTCTTTAATCCTTGTGCTAAGTCACTGTGTTGAGGTAAGGCTGCTAAAAATAAACATAAACTAGGAAAGAGATATTCTATTTGTGATTAATGCCTGCAGTGAGAATATATTTCTACAAAGTTCATGCCGTACTTGTTAACCAGATATTAGACCATTAAGGTGTTGTTTCTTTTACACAGTGGATTAAACAGCAGAGCTCACAACTGTCTTTACATTTGCATGCTGCTGTTGGGATCTGGGGGACCTGGCAAGAAACACATCTGACCATGGCATCTGGACTTGCACGGAGACCACAGCATAGCACATGATGTGGGGAAAGGCTGTGGCATACCCACCTGTATAGACCTGGCATATAATCTGTGTAATCCAGGCATCTGGGATCCTCTCAAACCTGTTATTCTCATGACTGTAATTTGTAAGATCCAAAAGCTGCCCCTAAGTGCCTCCTAAACGCTCCTAGTTATTGACCAAAGGAACATGGATTGCTTACAGGACAGATTCTCTTCTTGATTATAATGCTGTAGATCAAAGGCAGCATTACTGGTTCCAGCTCTGCAGCGAACTGTAGACACGTACAACTGCATGCATTCTTTTCCTGTGACATTAATATACAGGTATATGCCTCCACCTGCTCAAAGATGTGAGGTCAGTCTTTATGACAGGCAGCCAGTGCTAACGAAGAATCTCAGGCACTTTACATTTGTCCCCAGGGAGAGCTCTATCACCCTATAGCAACTCCTGACAGTGGATGTTTGAGAAAATGGCGCCTTGAAGGCTGCAGACATAGGCCTGATGCATAGGTTTTTCACCAAGGGCTTCTGCAAACTTGATACTTCTATCTAGAAAATCCCAGATATCAGATACCTACAAATCAGCCCTGCTCTGGAAGAAGGGACTTGGAGTAGCAGACAGTATGGGATAGCAGCACATCAGCAGGTCAATGCCTCTCCACAAAGCTTAATGTAGTCACAGGAGAAAGTAAACTCCCATGGCTGCCTGGTCTTACACCTTAAAATGATTTTGTTAAGAAAATGTATTTTACCAAAGGTTCATCAGTCTTTTAGCTTCTTGAAGTGCCTCAGTCAAATTGTTCAGATTCTTTAGTCCAAGTTTATTTCAGCATGTGGCTTTGTGAAGGGTTTAATTTAAGGTCATTAGCAGCCTCAATTACTGTGGCAAAATATGGATTGCTAGTGCAGAAAGCATTTATTATCTGTATAACTTTTAACACGGTGATTTGAAGGTGTTATTCAGTGTTACATTTTGTGCAATATCAGGGCTGTTTGAAGATGCTCCTCATTCTTCTCTCTTGCCCTGTTGGCATCTCTACCCTTTCACCCACCACAGGTGTCTCTTCTCTCATAGCCCTGCCACTGCCACTGTTCGGGAGGTTGTGATACAAGCTAGATCACAGAAAAGACTGAGCTTAAAGAAAAACCTTGGAAACTCAGAACCTGCACTTTTGACAACACATACCACAGTCTCAATGGAGTCAAGGAACTACTGGCTTCCCTCCCTCCTACCAGGACAGGCTTTTGTTCCAGTTTTGCTACAAGAGAAAACGAATTAGAAGTTTTTTATTTTATTCATTCTGATTGCCATCCCTAGCTTAGAAGGAAAGCAATTCAGGAACTCCTTGCCACAGCCATGGCCAATTTAGTATGTACGTTTCCTATTTTTATCTGCTGATTTTAATTTTAAGGACAAATCTCCTTTTTGTTTTTAAAGTGAGTCAGTTTTAGGAAGAAACAGAGACAGCTTTGTGCTTAAATTTGAAATCCAAATGGAGAAGAGTTTCTAAGAACTCTTTCTGTTGATCAATAACTGTTCTCAGAAAATATGCCTTACCTGTCCAGTGTGGCATTCTCATGTCCTCTTAGCTTGTCAATGACAGGTTGAATTCCCAGCATTAGAAACTCATACCGTAGGTGTAATCGGAACTCCAAATTATCCTTAAAAAGTGGAGGAAACCCAAGTTATTGGGCTCCAAAATATTTTAATCACATTTTTAAAAAAATAAACCAAACAATTTAAAATCACAGTTCTTCCATTTTTAATATCCTTTATCTTGACACCCAATTCACAGGATGATTAATTCCAGTAACGTTAAAAAAAAAAATAAAAATTCTTTGCCTGTTTCACTTAAAAATACAGTCCTCATTTACTTACAATGAATTCTGCATACCCAGTCAAAAGGGCAGCACACTCCATGTTGTTCCATAAAGAACAGAAGTTATTAGTGTTTGTCCTGCTAGTCCATTAGAGGTCCACCTCTTGCTTGCAGATGAATAGAACTGCAGCCTTCCTCCCAGTTTTTATGTTTATTTGTCATAAAATCACCATATACTCTGGCAAACTTGACACCTGAGTGCGATGTTAGAGGACTGCCGCGGATAGAGACAAATACATTCCTAGACATAGCTCTTATTAGCTTGTCTGTTGTGGTTTAACCAAAAAAAGAAAAGCCAAGGTAACAAAAGTGACACTTTTAATGAAACAAAATAAGTTTAAACTGTCCAGATTCAAAAGAAAGTCTTGTTAATGAAAGAAAACCAACAAACTCTCTTTTCTGAAATGTCTCACTTTGACATTTTTAAATTTAAATTTTCTGACTTTGGTTTTGAGTCAAAACAACATTTCAAAACATTTCTGTAGGTAAACCAAAATGTTTTCTAAAAGGCCGAAATCAGAGGTAAATGCTTTACAGTTAAAAAAAAAAAAAAAAAAAAAAGAAGCAATCATTTTAGTGCAAATAGTTTATGTTACATTAGAAGAGGCTGAGCATGAAATAATATGGAAGACACTCTAAAACTGATATTAGCAATTAAGCATTATTTTCTGCAAACCATATCCACTGAATAACACAAGATTTGTGACTTAATCTACTAAGCATTTCCAAGGTAAATTAATTCAAGCATAACATTTTAGAAGGAATTTCGAGGGCAGTGTCTCACCTCACCAGCACCAGCATTCAGAACAGCATTGATAAAGGACATGATGGCTGTTTTGAGATTTACTTCATCTCGATATCGCCCCATGCTTCGGTCTAGCTCATTCAACAATGTCTGAAACAGAACAGCAGGCTGGTTCAGAGGATACAATCTAATTTCTTACACCATTTTGCATACTGTTCATGGGATATGCACACAGTCTTCTTTTGATTTCCTACATATTTACTTAAAGAAATATTTTTTATTCAGGCAAGGTTGTTAGCAATTCTGGGCATGCCACAATAAGAAAATAAAGAATAGCAATAGGAATAAAATGGCCACCTGATCCTAATGAAAAAAAAAATATATTTTTTTTAAACAAGCTATTATTTGAGAAAAAGCAGAAGTCCTTTATAGTTCTTGCCAACATGACCTAAGAAAGCAGCAGAATGATGTCCTTCCCAGTCAGTTAACTCTGTATGGTGAATATCACAGGGAGTTTATACACACAGAAATATAGCATCAGATTCGTACATCCTTTCTACTCAAATCACTTACGTAATTTTCATTATTTTCTTGGAACTTAGCAGGATGATTGCATTTATGTGCACAGGGGAGAGAATTCTAAAGAGAAGCTCTCTTTTGAGGCATAAAACCCATAGCTTGGACAATTTCTCCTTTTCCTTCACTTACAGCTACTTCACATGAAGCAGACAATTACCCACCTCTTGGTAAGCTCCTTTTATGGATTTGCAAATAACAGGAGTATCCGCTGTGCATACAGCTCCAAAGCGCAAAGGAGAATTACACAGCTCCACTGGTAGTGCAGATAAGCTTCAGTTTCCTTGTTACAGAATTACAGAACGGTTTAGATTGGAAGTGACCTTTAAAGATCATCTAGTTTCAACACTCCTGCCATGGGCAGGGACATCTTTCGACTAGATCATGTGGCTCAAAGCCCCATCAACTTGACCTTGAACACTTACAGTGATGGGGCATTTACAACTTCTCTGGGCAACCTGTTCCAGTGTCTCACCACTCTTATCATAAAAAAAAAAAATCTCTTCCTCATATCCACTCTAAATCTAGCCTCTTTTAGTTTATACCCATTAGCCTTTGTCCTGTTGCTACAGGCCCTGGTAAAAAGTCTTCTGTCTGTGTTAGAAGCTCCCTTTATATACTGAAAGGCTTCTATAAGGTGTCTCTGGAGACCATATGTCCTCCTATTAACCAGATAGCAGGGATATTCAGCATTCAAGGGGTATTTAGCACAGAAATGCTTTTGGCCTAATCTCTACATACATATAGATATCTCACTATAATCCTGTAAACATCAGGAGACGAAGGAGAAAACAGACTAGACAAATAATGTTGGTAGCCCGTGCCTTATACAGTCTATTTGGGATTAATTCTACTTGAATATTTACCAAAGAGATTATAGTAGAAACTGATTAGCCATGAAAGCAACTCTAAGTTATGTGCTGATTACCATGAATCTTCTCTTCAGGATCTACTCTGATCAGCTCATAATTCCAAGGATGATTTTCCTTACTGAAAGGGTGACAAATTCCACTTGAGATCTGCCAGTTCAATTCTATGCATCTCTCTCCAGTATTAAGAATAAATGCCCCACAGTCCTATATTTGTTTTGCTGATGCATGAGAAAAAGATAGAATTCTTTTTACTCTTCACAGGATGTTTTGGCCATAAAGGGGGAATGAAGACAAAAATAACTTTTTAGTCTTCAGTTCAGCAGACCATCTAAATAATATTTTGAAGCTATGATGCTGAGTAAGGAAGTTGATTTTCCTTTAGTCAGTCTTCTGTCCCTAGCTACTGAAAGTGTTCATTCATAGCAAAATCTTTCCTGTGCTAGTCATCAGTTTCATAGGTCTATCTTGTTTCCTGTAGAAAAAGGACATCACCATGGAGATATGTCTCAAGAAACTGGGAGAATATCTTCCTGTGCATTCCCCAGGGGAAACAATAACCTTCTGGCTTCATGGAAACCCTTTGTTTGTTTTTCAGTAAATATCTTTTGATCATTCATCCACTGCTACTGACAGCTGTTCTTATATCTGAGCATAGTATGTTCACTATCAAGCAAGCTTGATTTCATAAACTCCTTTTCTCACATCTTTGAAACTGTTCAGCTGGCATTTGCAAACATCCCTAACTCTTGTCATTTGAACTTCCATCACATCTACCCAGTAGTTACATTATGACCAAATATCAACCCTTCCCCTTGTTAGAAACAGGGGCGAATCTCACATAAAAATACAGGAAATGCCCTACTGAGCCAGACTGATGGTCATTCCAGTCCAGCATCCTATCTCTAACAATGACAATAGCAGAATATTTAAGAAGTCTTTAAATTCACCAACAAAACCAACCCTTCAACTTGACAAATAAGCAGAAGTGAAATAAATGAGAGGATTTAGTTCTGTTACTCTCAGATTTGATGCTGAAATCCAAAGCACACGTGTCTTCTTGGACCAATTTAAGTAGCCATCATTACAGAAGCATCAAAACCAAGGATGGGTTTGCTGGTTTTCTTTGGAGGCCTCATTCCTACCATATATTCTCACAGACATTTGGGAACATGCTAGAATCTATGAAACAACATATCAGATACAGTATCCGGACAGGTTAAAGGATGTTAACAAAAGCTTTCTATCCCCCATTTCAGAAGGCTGGACTAGGAGCAGAATGCAGTGGGGACCAAGCCAAATTCAGGGCAAGAAAAACTAAAACTCTGGGTTGCACTGAACTTGTTGAAGAGCAGCACATCTTCATGCAATTGTTCAGTTTTAGAAGGAAACACTGTAAGCTCATGCAATTCCTAAAGATGAGAATGTACACCCACACACTGTGGCCAAACTCCAACATCTCCAACCCTTTGCAAATGGCTGGGGTTCAAGTCTTCACTTGAACATTTCCTGTGAAAAAGATTTCACCACACCTCTTGGCAGCCAGCTCTACAGCCCAATTGATCTTATGGTTGTAAAGGTTTTTCCTACTATTTAAGCAAAACTTTCCTCACTTAATCCCATTATTTCTCATCACTGACATCCAGTAGGGTTTCATTCAATCTGCAGCAAACCTCAAAAGGCTTTGGATGAGCCCTGGGGGGAAGAAGCAAATCATGTGGGAATACAGGATTTTAATTTGTTCCTTGTTAGCTCCCCTACCACAATTCCAAGTTGATCAGATGTCTTCCTACAGATTACAGTCTGTACTGATGGTGTTTAACACAAACCAGGCAAGGAGGTTCTGGAAGGCGTGCTCCTAATATCTATCTTTTCAACTGACAATATCAAGCTTCCTTTATTTCTTCACCTCAAGCTTCAAATTTTCTAGCAGCATTAAGGAGTAAAACAAGTGTTCTGCGCAAAGCAGCCCAGTTCATATTTTCATCGGCGAGTGAAATCACCTCCTTTCAGAGAGTATCTAACACCTAGGTTCTCTCAAGACTAAAAAGGAAAAGTCTTTTTTCCCATAGGGGTCCCCAGCTGAGTGGGTGTTTCAGACAGCAAACTAGGCTGGAAGCGCACTGGAATATACTTCTGGGGGGCAGTACAAGCATTATGACCTTGCAACATTAGTTTGACTTAAATTATGGCATGTTAAAAAGTACATGTTACAATGTCATAACACAGTGCATTCACTCCACAGGAGAAATGAGGGGAAGCAGCAAGCGTAACAATAATCAGAAAGGCAACAACATAGAAAGGAGTAAGACTGTGCCACTTTCACAAAGGAAACCATTCATAAATAGGATAATGCAGTTTTCATAGCATTTTAGAAACCTCTATCTTCACAAGAAAAGCATGTAAAAAATTCAAGATAAAGCAACATTTTCATGGTCACACATTAAGCCAGTGCCAAAATTACACTAGTACCAATTTTGAACACATCAGATGAAAAAGAATCCCAGGAAGGACACCAAGGGCTCATCTTCCTCATTCCTGCTTTGAGGGTTTATTGTCTGGCTTCCCAAAGTTTTCTTTCATCTCTCTTCTTTAAGTAGCAGAGTAGAATTTGTAGGCAAAGAAACATATTTCAAACAAAAATTGGATGAAGCAAAGACAGAGCTTTTCCAGATTGCCCCAGGAAGGAGACTGAAAGCATGCCTTTATATTACTGTGGTATCTGAGTAAAGATGGAATACTACTTTGAAGAGGACAGTTTTCAAGGAATATTTTAAAAGAGGAACTGCAGACTTCCTATTGGCTATTAAAGGGAAAATTATTCCAGGCAGCATGAAAGAAAGGTCAAAGATTAAAGCAGGAAAAGGTATCAGCTCAGGCAAAAAGTTGTAGCAAGTCTGAGAAAATAGGAATAGCCATAATATAAATTCAGAGACAAACATAAAGTATAGAATCTTGTTGTAAGTGCCAAGACAAAGATGACCCTGACAGACCTGTGAACACACTGAACAGCAGAGACAGGGTGAAGTTGTAGGACTAAAAGTCATTCAAGTGGAGACTGAAGTGTCATTTCACTCACGAAGAAGAGTATGTTCTGGAGAATCTCCCATAGCTTTAAAATGACTCCTCTCCAAAGTTAAGGATTAGGTTGATAATTTCAGTCAGTAGACAAAATGCTGGTAATTTAGAAAGAAGCAATATTTTACAACAGAATTTCCACTCAGAGCACAATATGAAAAATGTTGTTAAGGAGGCAGACCTTTATCTTAATAAAAGTTCTATCTAGTTTTTCCATTAACTTCAATGAAAAAAAAAAAGAACACATGAAAAACAAGAATGTCTCTTCCAAAATACTTGAACACAGTTTGATTAGTGGTCTTCAAGTGGTATGATCTGGTGCAATTTAGTTAAATTAATTGGGATTACAAGTGTTTATATCACTCAGGAATCTCACCGTAATTTGGATTTTGACTTTAGATACCCTAGCATAAAACTGTAAGTTTCCTATTCAAACAGTAGGAGTTACAGCAGAACAGAGCCAATGCAAGTTTACTAAGAACCATACCTTAAGTCACAGCTTTCCTTCTCTACTAATTCACCAGTTGCTGAGTCCTCTGACTACTTTTGGTTAGCTGTGCCAGGTAGCAAGAGTTGTGCTTAGAACACTGACCAGCAATAACTTCTGACAACCAATGAAACCTCGCATGTTTTATGTTACTGTGTTAAATACATGATCTCTACAGAAGTCCACCACACTTGCGCACATGCAAATTGGAAATAATCAGTGTTCCATCTAAAGCTGTCAGCAGCAAGTTATGGATGAGCTCAAGTTTTAGATGGTTGCCAGTAAATAATTCTGAACCTCTCTTCCTCCTTCTTACAAAACAGGAGTGGAAGCAGAACCATGCAACCCAATTTTTTATTAATTGTCTGCAAGAAGGCAAAAAAAAAAAAAAATTGTGTTTGAGAAAAATAAATCTGGAACAGTCTTTTTTACATTTATCTCCTGATTCCTCAAAGTATATAGTGCTGGTCACGATAGATGACATGGGGAGAGTGGGACACTTAGACTTATTGCAGTCTGCAAGAGGGGAAAATAAATCCAAACACATAGTATACAAACAAAGTGCCAGCTTTCATAGATGAGGAGGCATAAATTGACAACGAGTTAGCTGAAAGGGATGAAAAATATCAACCACTGTTGTCAAGAAGGAAACTTAAAGAGCAAAAAGTGTATTGATGTTGTCAGAAGTCAGTGTTACCTGTAAATTATTTGTTGGACATTCCAATAAAAGCGAGCTCAGTACAGTTTCCAGAAAACCCTACACTTTCAACTTCGCAAGAACTGAGTCTGATTTCCAAACTAAGAATGTGAAATTATTCTCCTCTTAGGTATTGTATCCCTAATTTGGCCATTGAGGCAGATCTAGAGGAAGACTGAGCAGTGCCTTTACAGTTCCCTGCTTTCCTTCCACGCCCCCATTAGAATCAGTCTGCAATAATGAACCATAGAGCCAAAGAAATAAATTCCTACTCTGCACATTTAAAATATGTTTCTCCCGTTCCTACAGTTTAGTTCACTTTTTATTACTTTTCACAGAAAGAATTCTCATTTCTTGGTTCTGCCAGATCCCCACTTGTGGGGGATCATTTTCAATATAACAGTGATTAGGTGTGGCCAAAGTCAACCTAAAGCTGCAAGCTCTAAACTGTTCAGACACTTCAATGCAGAGTGATACTGCTAGTTGCTCAAGGTACAATTTAAAATCTGAAGGATCTCTTCAGATATTTGCAAAGTCTGAGTTACAAAGAATAGACCCAGGACTGGGATAAAGAAAGAAAGGCTTTCCCTGGCTTTCATTGTATACCACATCTTTCAAGTTTACAGTAAAGGTATAGGGTAAACATTGTCAGCTCATCCTTTTCTTAAAATGGCTTCTCACAGTCAAGTTACAGTGGATGTTTCTCTTGGCTGTTCTGTGACACAGGTGTGGGAGGGCCAGAAGCAGAGATAACTCTTAACTGGCAATTCCTAGAGTATCAGAGAACCTTCCACTAAAATGTAAGGACGACCATGGCTACATTTGTTTCATCAGCATTCAAAAGTTACCCAGTCTCTCTGTTAGAAGAAAATGACCGAAGATGGATGAGGAATGTCTTTGGATGAATCCTTACATCTTCAAAATGAAACTTAAACTACTGCTTTGTTTAGTGGAAAATCCCATTCCAGCATCTAGACACAAGCGTTAGAAATTGTAAACAAGAACACATCCCTTCTGCTAAATAATTTTGGGGTTTGGGTTGGGTTTTTGTTTTGTTTAAGAAAGAAACAAGAGAGTATCCATTCACCTTTCTTCCCCCGCCCCCCCAATGAAAAAGCATTTTGACAAAAGCAAGTATTTATGCAAAGCACTCTTTCATGAATGTGAGTTGGTAAGCATCTGCAAATCATTACTCCAGATTCCTCAAAAGCTCAAAAGACTTGTGCTACCACACTTTGCCCAGCAAGGACTTATCTCAGTTTTTCAGTAAATCTTAAACCAATAGAAAAAAGGAGGAAAGACGACGATGGAAGACAAAGACGGAAGGAGGAAGGAGGGAGGAGGGAAAAAAAAAAAAAAAAAAAAAAAAAGAGTGAGGACCCAAATGGGAGACATTGAGTAAACTCAGCATCTATCTCCCATATGGGCTTATTATGCAGTCATTCGGTCAAGTAAGGATAAGTTAACACAGGACCACAAGTGTTATCAGGGCTGTAAGTTACCACTGCTTTTTGCCAAGCATCTAAAGTTACCCCCACCTGTCTCCAAGGTATACAAGAATGTCAAATTAATACAGGAAGGATTCTCCATTTTGGCTAATTACTAGAGAGCAAGGTGGATAAAGCAATGCTCATAGAGAGGTGGACCTGCCAGTCCCACATATGCATTAATACCAACCCAAGATCTCTTGCATCCCAGTTCCAGGTCTGAGTCACAGTCACTGAATTTCATGGTGCATTCACTCCTAACAACCACCGTTGGCAGCTACTGTTTTTAAACACAGACTGTTTCCCCATTCACTTTCAGTCATAGCTCACTATAGTCCAAAATCCACTGAAGCATTAGCTGAGGAGTAGGCAGGAAATAATGGCTGTCAGAAAGCAGGATCCAGGGCCAACACCACTCTTACAATTTCAACTAAGAACACATAGTAAATGGGTGAGGTTACCCCAAAGGTTAGGAACTACAGCTTCATACACAGCAACAGATACTGTTACATCTGTTTGTAAAGGTGCTCGGTTCACTAGGAAGAGAAACGTTATCATAGCAGCCAGCAGTATCCACAATAAAAGCCTGTCAATGATCTCAAGGTCTCTCAGGTTGAGTTTCCCTTCTGGGGAGGTTCTGAATGGGAGATATCTGAGCCAACAATTGCTAACTAAGGAATCAACTTGTGCACCATCACAAGTGGCAACTAAAGTGCCTCCTCTGTCCATTATTTAATCCACTGTCTCCATTATTTAATCCACAACTCTTTTATTACTAGATTAAGGGCTTTAAACTCAAGACAGAGGCTCCTGAAATTCTGTAGCTTTGGCTTCTAGGATAGAACAAATGATTACCACCCCAGAAATGTCATCAGGTTAGAGTATGAAAAGATCAGCAGCTTTCATTTAACATAGAGAGCCCCCATTTTAAGGTAAAATATAGGAGATTTCAAATTAGCATTAATGACAAGCAATCAGGTCTTGAAAAAAAAAAAATGCTGATAATCCATTTGAGAAAGTGACCTTCCTAAAACAAAATGAGAAATATTACCTTTTTACTACCTAGTAAGTTTGCAATACATGCATTATAAAAATCACTCCCTGCAGAGATTCACCATACTGAGTATTTCTGGCAGAATATCCTCCTTGTACCTGAAATCTTGTCCTTTCTGCAGCATAGACTTGGTAGTGAAGCATGGCTTGCAAGACTTTCTTGTGACCATCTGGTACCAAGCAGACAGCCCCTAGGATCTCCAGCACAGCAATCTTGGTCTTAATGTTCTCAGTCCGTAAGCTTTGGGAGATGATGTTGATGCTCTCTGGATGAGCCAGGACGTGAGCCCGTCCTTGGGAGTTGTTCATCAGTGCCTTGATACACCCTATAACGGATGTGTGTATACGGCTCTCTGAGGTCTCATAGTCCATGCTCTTCAGGAAGTTCAGCAAACAGCTCAGGCCATCCAGCTCAATAAACCTGGTCACAAACCTGAAAAAAAAAAAAAAAACCAAACAAAAAACCTCCAAAAAACCTCAAACAAGTAAGAGAAATAAGGAAAGTAGACCAAAAGGTAAGTTATTCAAAAGATACCATATTGTTCAACCCTATATCTGTAAAACCTGGCTAGTTTTTAGCCTAAAGTTCACAAAATAATTCCCAGGTATTTAAGAAAACCAAACCAAACGGACAGAAAACTAATAATAGTGTGTCACGTAGTTTCAGAGTAATTATGTTCTGTCACGTCATGACGCTGCTATTTGGTTACTGTGTTCATCGTTGCAGTTACCCCCAAACACCTGCTGTGGCCAACCCCAATAGTTGCTGCATTTTCAAGGCCGAATGGATTCTTTCAAATTAATAGAAATCAATAGAAAAGGATGGAATTATGTAAGTCAGTTCAAACCAATCATTCTAGCAGTGTTTCATTTAGAGCTCTCAGGCTTAAAAATAAAGATTCGAAGATATGAAAAGGGCTGCAAATAATTTCTCTAGATCACTTTGTTTACCTCCCGGCTTCTCAAACAAGTCATTCAGGTAGGTGCACTTTTTTAGAATGTCTGAATGCAAAACCATGTGAACTACACTTGAATTATCAGTCTAACAAAATGTACACCAACAATCATATGGTGGTCCATGACCACTATCAAAACAGCATAATGTAGAAAGACACCTCAAACAAATGAAAAGGTCATTAAAAAAATGCCATCTGTGTACCAAATTAAAAATACCAAAAGTCTGTGTCACTGTGATTTTACCCAGACCCTCTCCCTCTCCATTGGACACTTCCTAATGTACTGTCTTTTCCGTCCTTAAGTGAGACACCATTCCTAATATGCAACGGTAACAGAAGCACCGTACTGAAAGACTGAATTTCACTGGTCTCTGTTCATGTCTCTGCACCACCAATACAAACCTGAGCCATATATATCTCTTGGATAATATGGACTTGACACATGTATGGTCTTCAGTGGTTACACCCCACAGGAATTTTTAGGGCCTACCTGAAAGTTATGTTCACTATGCTGATAAATTTGCCAACTTCCAGCTTATTTGGGCCAGTAGTTTGACCAGAAACATAGCAAAGCCTGGTGCTTTCAACAAAGTTTCAGTCTGAGGTTTGGGTTTTGTTCAAAACTGAATTTCAAAGCGAATACTGGGTAAGGGTAAGCACACACAGGAACACATGTGCACCAAAAATGAAAACAAGCTTTAGCTGAACGAAGCTAACACAATCTGCCAAGTTTCACACAGGTCTGATAGCACATTTTTTGGATGCATCATCTTGTCTACCCAAACAAATCATAGGAGGAGAAGCCCCTTCTGCTTGCAGGCCAGAGAGCAGGATCAACATTGTGCACCAGGAATTTGGTAAGTCAGTCAAAGCAGATTGTTATTTAAACTGATTATAGAAAGATTAAAACTTAGTTCAGTTTCTGTAATGCATTTAGCTGCCAGCATGCCAAAGAAGACTGAAATAAGTTCATTTATGGCTAAAAGAGTTGCTGCTAAGGATGTATTTGGAACCAAAATAAGCACAAACTCAATGTGTTACCAAACAATGTGATGCCAATGACTTCTGAGCATTTCTCTAACCCTGGGCCTAAAGAGCAGAGTCACTCTTTGCCTCTACTCTGGAGGGACTTGTTTAAATTCTTCTCCTCCTCAATTCCAAAAGTTCGGTTCTATGAATCCACCTTATACCTTAGCTATTCTCTCTGTCTTTTAGAGGAGAGGAAAAAAAAAAAAAAGCGCAGATATTTTGTTGTTCTTTTCAGTTCCAGGGCTGAGGGAAGACTTAAGATGGATACCTTTCTGAAGATACAGAGCTCTACTGATAAAAGAAAACATCCTGAAGAAGCAGCTGAACAAAGGGTCCCTTAAACATACTTCTGGATGGAACACTTGGTCTTATGACAAGACATACTAGGCACTACAACCTTCATGTAATTTAGCCTGCTCTGATGACCATGTGGAAAGAAATGCACAAACATCACATTGTCCCAGTTAAGCACAATCCTTTACTAAATTCACTGGCAGAGCAATTTTTCTAAGACTGTTTGGATGAGGTCATTGCAAAAAGGAGGCATGCACAGGAAAGTGCTGTGTGTCACAGACCTTGATTAATGACATAATTTAAAATGTTGTCGGGATTTTCCTGTACTCTTCCTAGTCCAGAGAGCAAACAGTAAGCTGCATTACTCAATAGGAATCAAAATCAAGTACCTTCCCACTTCAGCTGACATCAAAAGCAGGAATCAAATTATGATTTTCACCTTCCTTTTCTATAACCCTTAGTAGTACCCTGTTCTCTAAAAACACCAGAAATAATGAAAGAGTGAGATAAAGAAATGGCAATAGCAGTTTCTGGGCCAACAGACACTCTCAGTATGAGGACTTGTTCAGTGTGGGGAGGTGTGTGTGTAAATGTCTGTACAGGGGGAAAAAAAAAAAAAAAAGTGGGAGTTTAGCTGACTGGCTGAGAGCCATAATACACTGTTCGGTGCTTGTGCATCTGTATGTCTGTAAGCAGGGATGCGAGTGTATATGTGTATGTATGTGCAAAAGCAAACCCAGCTCATACAAACAAAGTACCTTCTTCCTCACAATATACATGTGTAAGTAACCGCCATCCTATACATCCTGTATGCTGCAAATTAAGGTCTTGTTCTAGACTGGAAGGTGTAAAGTTAAGCGTATTTGCCAATGCATTCTGGCTAACACTTTCAAAAACTCAAGTGTAAATAAAGTAGGGTGTGCTTTACTAGGTGCTAAACAAGCAAATTAAAGCCTAATCTCACCTCATACTCTCACTTGACCAGTTTAGCACACTTTAAAAGGCAGGGCGCCTCTTAGCCTTTCAAGTTTTAGAGAGTGCTGATCAGAATGAGTTAGCTAGCTTTAATAACAAACCTTTCATCCAAATACGGATGCAGCAGCCTAAGAGGTAATGACCCACTGATGGATTCCAAGTGGGGGGGGGCGAACAGTCTCCCTGTGAGACTTGACAGCTCAGGAAAGATGGAAAGATCATATGCTATGGGTGTGCAGAGAGCAGGATGTTCCCACCCTGTTAAAAGCCAAGGCTACACTTCCCTGCTGCATCACTTTTTGTATCTGTGAGCATGCATAATCCTGACAACTAGTGAACTGCTGAAAAATTCAGCATAATGGATTTTGCTTGCTGGATCACCTCCAGTATGCACTTGTATACAACATGGCTATATCAAACAAAAATAACAGGAGGTAAATCTGAATTAAGCAAAAGGGAAAAAGCAGACAGCAAAGGGAGTTATGATGATTCAGACTGAAGGAGGTATTTTTCTGGGGTTCAAAAAAGTGATTTTTTTTTGTCCAGACCCTTGTAAATTTTTACTGTTGCTGCACTTCTGAACCTCCATTTTTGGGCACTAAAATACCAAAAGGAAAGCTCTTCTCTCACTGCTTCTGTCCAGCAGTTTGTCATCACACTTGTTTATAGTCATAAGTTCTTACAAACCTAAAAGAAAATGTGTTTCCTTACAAGATGCAGATGTGGATTTTTTTGTTCTCTAAGGCTGGGGTTGTTCCTGCATGCTGGGACATAACATGTCTTTATTATTTCAGGGCAGCTCCTAAATACCAGAACAAAACACTCTTGCTAAAATGGGGCCAACTAGCTGCCCAGGGATGCTTCTATCACCTTTTCTCCAAAGAGGAGAGGAACTTGAGTTTGAGTAAGTCTGCTTCGGTTTTTGTTCTGTTAGAACTGCTGGGTTGGAATAGAGGCCTAGATTACTACCATTACTCTGCATTTTCTACTAGAAGAGGCATTTCAACAGTAAAATAAAACACAAAGACAATACATGCATTTTTCTTCTTTTGTTTCCTCTAGATCAGAGAATTCAAGCAGAGGAGCCTATTGATAAACTCTCAGAGCCCCTGTGTACCCTACCATCATAAATGGATTCCAGACAGCACATCCTGTGTGAACTTAGGTCTCTATTTTCTGAAGAGGCCTGATGAACAGAAGTGGTAAGGCAAATAGGATTTGATGTCCAAATTCAGCTAGAAAGACTAGTATTTTGAAGGCTTTGGTATTATACTGCTTATGAGAGGGATCTGATGGAGCCGAGGGCCTCTCTACTGCAACCTTTCCATCAAGAAGAAATTGGCTTGTTGATCAGGCATTGGCACACAGCCCATTTGGCAGCTAACGAATTGAGTCGCTGGAAATTAGTTGAGACATAGGACTTAACTCGAAATTTGGCTTGGCTTAACTATTTAAAAAAAAAAAAAAAAAAAAAAAGCCCCATAACCATCGCCAGTGATTTAGAAGAGAACACTTTATAGGGCAGCTCGTAGATGCTTGTACTGAACCTTGCTAGGGTTATTATAAACAGATGAAGCACAGGCTGTTGTCAAGGGGATCCAGCAGAAGCAATACAGGTCTGAGAAGGAAAACCTTACAAGGTTTTGAGCAAAGGACATTTCCCTTTCTCCTTCTCTACTGTCTTGCTCTCAACAAGAAGGCTGGGCTGTCTTATTAAAAATGACAGAGCAGAACAACCGAAGGCGGCCACCAAAGTGTTTCAGGTGGACATAACAGAGAGTCCTTGCTGCTGTAACTATGCTCAATGAAAGCTATAATTTTCACAGAGTAAGCATCAAACCAGCTCCACATAAATGCAATAGCGTTGCTAAATCAAGTCTCAACAGCACAGGAGTTTGGTTTAAAATTCTTGTGAGAGTTTGGAGTCTGGCAGTTGTCTCAGCTTCCATTTTAACATAAAGTCCAGATGCACTTTACTGTGTTCTCTGTTTTAAGACATGACAGACAGGATCAGTCACTTATCCATCCCCTCGGGCTAGGTCTCAATATAGGCCACTGTTTCTCCACTTCCATATTAAAAGCACTCACCCTACCCACATGCTAAAGTTACAAAAAACTGATGAATCTTTATGCCTCAGAGGAGCATCAGAATCTGGTTTTGTGCTCTCTTACAGCCCGTCACAACAGGAGGTAAAAACCTGAGGTTTAAGCTGACATGTTCTACCTCACACTTGCTGCGAGGTGAGAAGCTGCATGCAGTGAACTTTTTAAACATCATGAAGGGGAGAAGCACAATCGGCACTTAGCTCTGCAAGAAGTCCCAGAAATATCTTCACTTCAAGTCAACGTAACTGCAATGCAAACTCTTTGAGATAAATTTTTTGGGCTGTATTCATTTATTTAATTTGTTTGGTTTGGTTAGCTTACACACACACACACACACACCCACCCAAATCCTATTTGCTTAGGCATTACTCTGAAACTATGACTTCAGCATAGTGTGGATGCAAATACATTTGGTCTATTTTGGGCCCAATACAAAGACATTCAGAAACTTTTTGACCGAGTGTTTCCTGAGATCATATCAACTACAGTTATTGCTTCTGCACAATGCTCTTCTTAAGTGTTAAGTGGAAAAGGTTTCTATGCTTGTTAGTTTGCTATTGTTTGGAGCTTTGTTCCCAGAAAAACAAAGATGACCTTACCTTCAAAGACACAGTACACAATAAAGTCTCTTAACATTTCTCTACACCACAGTTACACATAGAACAGGAAGAATGCCAAACCAGGTGATGTCAGATGGATTAGCTGCTTTGTACCAAACAGTTCACATTACTAAAGATAAGGGGAAGCTTGAATTCAAAGTTCAGAGTACAGGCTGAGATTTTGCCCAACATGAATCAAATCACATGGGACATTCAGGGGGCTATGAAGTCTAAAATCTGATCTTCATAGTCATTACTGGTATTTGCACATATCTGCCACAGGTTTTTCACATCAGACTTCGTCTTTTATTTTCCTGAAGCTACATGCTTCAGCATTAGTGTGCCCTTCCAACTAGGCAGACCTAGGGACTTGCAGGGTTCTCTGTGGATTGTCTGAAATATCAGAGAGGTTTGTGTGAGGTGAGACAATGAGGTTTCTGTCTGTGCCACTCTTTCCCATGTCACATCTGACCATAGGGAGGCAGTGAATTGTGATGAAAGACAAATAACATTACCTCATGGGCTGAGTCCGCAGAGCTGTCTTCAAGTCTTCAACTATTTTATTTTTCATTTCTGTTTCTTCTTCATCGAAAGCATACAGAGTCTGCATCTGTTCAGAAAAGAGGATGACAATCAGGAAAGCTCAGGCTGCCTGGAAGCTAAGAGACAGGCCGGGAATTATGAAAAACAACTATCCCATCAACCCATGCTGAGGTGCCTGCCGACCTCTCACCAGGAAAGCAGCGCCTCAGCTACAAAACTGAATCCAGATGAGGCTGCTCATGTGGACTGGCAGCAGCATACTGCTTTGCCACACTGGCTAAACTAGGGTTCTCAGATTACCCCCCAAAAATCATGCTTGCCAGTATGCCCTCAGAAAACTGTACCTAATTTGGAACAGTGATCTGCATGGTGATCTATGGATATGAGAGGCAAAGTTTGTAGGGAGAGGTAATATCTTTTATTACACTGACATGACTCGAGAGATGGGGGGAAGAGAAAAACCCCAGATTTGTGTGTCAGGTTTCAAAGCATAAAATCTTTTTCTTCAAGTGATTAAACAGCCTGCAAGCACCCTGAATTACAGTTTGTGTACATACAAGTTTGATTTTTTTTCTTCCCCACACCAAGCACATAACCTGTTTTCAGATAGATTTTCCCTATATACTTTGCCCTTGCTAATTAGAAGCATTTATTGCAAAAAGCTGGATCATCATAAAATCCCTGTCCCTGATTTTTAACAAGTGAACTGAAACACGTAGAGACTAGATTTTCCCCCAGAGTGCAGGCTGAGATAAATAGAGCTTCCAGTTAACTGGAACTGAAGATGCTGTGGGTCACTGAAAATTATGGTGAAAGATGATGAGTGGAATACACACAAAAAATAAGATTTTCAAAGTCAAACAATGCTATTAAAAAAAGTGATATAACAGGAAATCAGGGTCCCAGATCTACACTCAGCACCACTGCAACCTTGTGATGTGAAGCAATACTCTTCATTTGCCCATCGCATATACCATTCAGGCTCACCACTGGCTTTTCAAAAAGTCAAGACTCAACGCTGGGAATTCTTAGCCTATAGCTATGTCTTCTTAGCCTCTTTAACTGTAAAACAGGGAGGATAAATGACTCTCTTATTGCAGGACTTCTCAGGGATATCACTCAGTAATATCTGGAGAGCAACTCTGAACCCCTTCTCAGATGAATAACCCAATTAAACTAGTATCATCTATCAGAGATCTGATATTATACCCCTCTGTGGTGGAATCCAAGTAACTACAATTATGGCCCATTACAGCAAAATGTTTAAGTCTTTATTTTACTATTTAGCAAGCACCAAAGAAAACCTTCCTCTCATGGGAACTTCCTTTAACTCTCCTCCCCACCCCACCAGCCCAACACCTCACTTCCCTTGGAAGTGCTCCCACGTTGCTTGCTTTTGCAAACCACGTGGTGCATGTCGGATCCTGAGGGTGGTCATTTGGCTACATGCCTTGCTGTCTTATACTGAACAGCTGGCATAAGGAGATGTGTTTAACTCTAGGGGTCCTCTCTCTGATCCACGCTAAAGTCAAATTCACTCAGTAACAGAGCAAGCTATTTCCTGCCCTAATGGAATGACAGAGCGCTACTGATGGAAAATGAGCTGATGATGTTTTATCTTTTGCCAGCATCCCCCGACAGCCAGCAACATAAATTGAAATGCTTAAGCCAAGCCATATATGATCCCCCTCTTTGAAAAATAAACAGAAATCCTGAACAGGCATTATGGAATCCCAATGGCAGAGTCCTGGGGCGTGATATGGGGCTTGATTTGTATTTTCTTGGGTGACAGCCCATCTGGTCATCTTTCCTTTGGCCCATAAATGCTCCTTTGAAAGGCTCCCATTCCTCCAACGGCTTAATTTCTCCTCTGAGCCATTGTGGGGAGAAAGCAAATGGATGGTAGGAAGGTACTCAACAGTATTTTGTTCAGAGGAAAAAAAAGGCCCATTTCCAAATGAAACAAATACAAATAATCCTGCCTTTACAACAGAGGGTGATTATAGAAAACCCCTTTTCTAAAGCTGCAGGCAGCCAAGAGCCCTTCATTTCTCACTTTTCTTCATGGTCAGGAACTCAAATCCTCATGCCCTCTCTAAAGGCATACTGGTCACGCGTTTGCATTATGAAATAGCTTTCTCGGCAAGAATTATAGAAAACATAATTGTCCCTAAGAGACAAAGGGGAGAGAACTGTCATTATCTGAGGCTGGATTTCATTAAATGTGGCTGACTGATGAATTGCTTCCCTGAACTACGAACTGCACTCGAGGACTACCCAAGCACTGATGCGCCGAGGATGCAGCTAGTTACTATCAGTTAACCAAACATACCAGAAAGAGGAAGCAAAATAGTGCCAGGTCCTTATCCAGTTGCTAAAGAGTGGTATACATAAGGCTTATTTTTACAAGCACATTATGCATATTTAAATTTCTCCAGATTAAGTGCATCACCCAGGAAAGTATAGCATCTAGTTACTTGATTTGCGAGTTCAAAAAAGTTCACAAATTTGTGAAAACAATCATTCACATGGAATTTGATGTGTAAAACTTCAGGTAGTCCAAGACATTACTTTTGAAGATTTGGCTCCATTTAATATTAAATATTTTAGTTTTATTAAAAGCACAGATTAATTCCCACACCTTATCCTAGTGGCTAATCATTCCCCTAAACTGCTGGGAAGGAAAATACAGGACCATAATGACAGTACATGTGAGAAAGAGAGAGAAAAAAGAACAATGAAAAAAAGGGCATGAACTAGCATCAGCAGTACACTATATGATGGACCTAGTTTTACTTAACAGTCTCACACAAATGCAATGAAAAAAAGAAAGAAGCAAATAGAATAAAAGTGAAAAAGCAACCTGGATGTTCTGATTTTTCATTATAGTCCTATCTTTTTCTTTAGATCTTGTCTAAAATCATAACCAACAAAGTGTTATCATTATTTAATCACTTTCAGTTCATAAACAAATATAAGTAAAATTAAAATCAAAGTGTGATTTAAAAATATTGTATTACATGCCTCCTATGACATACCTAGACAATACTACTTTAAAACATTTCTTCAAAGAAAAGAAGTCAGTTGAACTTCAGAGTGCACCACATCTCTAACTACATTAAGGCTAAACTAAGAGAATAAACTATGAATCATCAAGTATGAATAGATGTAATTTTAAAAACCTGAACTTTCAAGCAAATAAATTTAAAGTAACATAGATATCACCTAACCCAGATGGAGGAGAGAGTTATCATCCACCTGCTAAATTCTGCTGAAAGAGATATTTTTTTTGATGTCCCATGAAGCTGCTCTGCCCTGAACAAATGCTTTCTGAGTCAAGGAAAAGGGCTTGGTTACAGCTGTATTTATTAATCTTGACCCTTGTCTCATACTCTTGACAGAGCCATCTCTCCAGAAAAGCTGGATCTGCAACTACTGTTCACCTGAAAGTCTCTCTGTGAAAATGCATACACAGCCAAGCTCATAAAAGCAACACAGTGCTGTTCAAAAGTTTTCCTCCCCAGTGAAGTGAGGGCTGTGTTTATTTGTGCTGCCCAGCAGACAGTATCCTGGGGTGAGGAGGGCAGGAGTAGTACAGGGATATTTCTTTACGAGTGATATTAACAGGGCAGCTGCTCCACTTTCAAGAAAAGAAGTTTTGTGCGTTAAGAAAACATGAATCAGTAGATGACAATGACCTTGATAATGGAAATGGTCTCTAATTGTGGGTGTGCAAGCTCTCCACAATCACTGGTATTATTTATAGCACGTAGACATTAGAGTACCAGGCAAATTTGGAGGCTTCTCTTTCTAAATTAGCAGCTGTCCCTTCTCTTAAGGATTGGTCTAGAAGACAGTCTACCAATGACCTACTTGGTTCCTTCCTTTCAGTCAGGCTACCTGAAGGATGGGAGAGTCCCTCCACAGGAACTGCACACTACAGACTCCAGTTTTAACGTTGTATACTCTTGTGAGAATTGGGTGTAAAAACTATTAAAATTTAAAAAGTCACAGCAACAAAAACAATTGTGGGAACAGAACTGTGCCTAAAATGCATGGCTTTTTGAACTGGATCAGGAATCTATGACCTAAAGTGCTTCCTAACATAGTGGTCTGAGGTTACAAGTAGGGAATGTCAAACATGTCAGGAATCACCACATTGCTCTCTCACATAATCTGTGAGGGGCAGATATGATGGGTAACGCTGCAACGGATCTTCTGAGAAAAAGATCCTTGAGCACAGAGGCCTTGGCCTGCTGAAAGCCACAGAAAAATATTTAATGATATCAACAGGATAAAGCAGCCATTTCTATTTTATCAGCAGGTAAACTTTTCTGCCAATCTAATACCAGAAAAATATCAATTAAGCAAAAGGATATAGAAAGAGATGTGAAAACTGCATGTAAATGATTCTTATGCAGTTACTTCACAGGAGATGCAAAGATTAAATTTTACTAAAAAAAACAGGACTTAGGGATTTAAACTAACACCTCTGCGATTATTGCTACTATTTCAACTTTAATACTTCTTGCAATATTTCTAATTAAAATATTGCAATACCTGATAGTGCCCAAGGGACACAAACTGAAATAGACTAGACAGTGTCAGGAAGCAACATGAAACATGTTTTTCTTTCACGACTTCTGAGCCAACTCCACTTGGACACAGTTTAAAAAAAAAAAAAAAAAAAAATTTAAAAAACCACACCACTAAATTTAGGACTGAAATTACAAGGGACCCAAAATAACCATTTGGAAGTTAAGAATCTCAGAGGTCTAAATAATAATGAATAGAACATGTCTTTTAAAATGTGTAGGAGCTGCTTCTCATCTGTATTACTTCAGTTTTCCACTGATACAATTCCCGTGAAATCAAGTCAACCAAGTTTCACCTGCCTAAAAGTGGTAAATCAGAAGCAGGGGTTTTAACCCCAAAGGGTCTTCACAGCACTTCAAGCATAAGAGTAAATCATGAGGCCTGAAGCGAAATAAAAGGTTATCAATCATTCAGTGCTGAGGCATGCAAACAACATTACTGGGGCTGGTGTTTATTGGTGCTGTTAAAACATGTTTAAAATTAGAAACATAGGCCAAAGTATAGTCTCATTCCATGGATCTGATCCAGATTTACAATAGTGGTGTGTACGTATTCACTCCAGGTTTACATCAAGATCATTTAAAGACTAATCCAAAAGTCACTGAAATCAATGGAAAAACTTTCAGTAGATTCAAGAGGCCTTGGATCAAATTCTACCAGAAGTATTTGGCTCAGTGACATTGCAAGGTTTCATACTTTCCCCCCCCCCCCGCCTTAATAGCCCTTCTAGAGCAAATTTGTTCAGTCAGGAAATCAAAGCACAGTGCCACGCCAGTCACAAAAGCTCAATCTATTTCTCAAAACAAGTCCATATTCTTTCTATTCTATTACTCTGCCTCAAGAAAACCTGGCATGAAGGAATGTGATAATTTTGTTTATTCATGACTCACAATAGAAACCAGTTTTTCTCTTTTACTCTTAAAGTTATAATACCTTGTAAATCTTGATACATTTGTAATGACCCAGATGTATTTCACCATGAGAAATGGATCAGTATTGACACATTTAGCATCCAATAAGGCATTATTTTTATGAAATTACTTTATAGCTCATAACCACAATAAAAAATGTGCAGAGAAGCCTTTAGAAATCAAACATAAAAGCATAAGTAAACAAACAAGGTGTGCTACCTAAGGCGCAGGGATCAGAATTCTACCATCACTTCTTCGCAGCTGCCAAAAAAGCTGAATGGACATTGCATATGAATAATGGGAGGCAAAATTTGACTATAAAATCAGTAAAAGGATCAAATTTCAAGATAAAAGAGCTACCATATCAAAGGAGATCAGTAGACACTATACTCAGGTGTGCTGCTTCTGCTGGTGACCAGCTCTAATGGATGCTTCAGAGGAAGAGACATATACAGCTATTCAACAAGGACAACTAAAAAACTTTTCCTCAAATATCTCATTGGCTTGTATCTGATGTCTAAGGTATTACGGCCTTATATTCCTCTATTTATCCATTCTTATATAAATGGATATTATTTGACATAAACAGCTACCTGTTCTATAATTCTTCTAGTAAACTATAATAATAAACCCAGTGTTATCTTGCAGATTAGTTAGAAATCAATTTGAAACCACACAACAAAACAAAACTTTACCTAGTTTTCAAATAGTTGCTTTTCTGATTCATCAAATATTCTCTTGAGTTTTCATTCCAGAATCTAATCTGATTGCCTTCAGTGCTCAGTATTGTAGAAATAAAAACTGGAAATGCTTATGGTGCTTTCTAATCTATTCTTCTGGCAGAGCAAGGCTCTTTCTTAATACACATACTCATCTTCTTTCAGAAGTCTTATTTTAAATCAGTCTTGCATTTGTGCTAACATTCTTCTCCTTTGGGGACTTCTTCCTAAAGAAACACATCTCTATGATAGCATATCTTCCCTGCTTTGCACGAGAGGTAACTTACTGCTGCCATGGAATTGATGCGGTCAATGTAGTAATCTGGCCAGCTGGTAGCAAGCTTATTAGGATCTTCTTGTTCCTGAAACAGAAAGTTAAACAAGGTTACACAAGGAGGTTTTACAAGATTAAATGCCACTGTAGAACCATCTGGGATTCTTCACTGCACTGCTCTTTATTGTGGTATGTCCCCCCGTATTCTTGTCTAATGCACATGGATGTGCAGCATTTATTAGAAACATTTCTGAAACTGTAATGTTAGCACTGTCACCGTAGTGTGTCAGATAAAGAGAATCCCCTTCAGCTAAGTTATTAAACACAGAAAATAAAGTTTGATGGAGACACAGTTACCTTTGGCATCTAAGCAGCAAATCTCAGTCCCTTAAACGTACTATATTTCCAAGTAGAAGGATAGCTCATTTACACGTTTACATTTTGTAGCTTTATATTGACAGATATTATAAATTATTTTGCCTCTCTACTGCTAGATTGATGGTGGGACTCACCAGGAAAGGGGTTTAACGTCTGCTATGGAGAAAAAAAATAAATTAAAAAAAAATCAAGGAACCTGTGAAGAAGTCAAAAGACTGCCTCATTTTGACATGATAAACAAAAGAAGAGCTTTAGGCTGGACATTAAGAAGCATTTCTTTACCAACAGGGTAGTCAAACACTGGAACTGGAGATTTCATTCTCTATTTCTAGATAGGCATAATATCACTGTCAAAATGAGGATGGGTTTCTAGGATCCTAATCTCCCATTATAAACTACAAATAATTCATATTAAGACTTCTAGCATATGATAAGAGATTGAACCATGTGACTCATCCTAAGGATGTCCAAAGATGTATGAAGACTGTGTGGATCTCACCAATGTTGTCTGTGTACAAATGCTTACTCATACTAGAAAAGTTACTCTGGAAGATATACAGAACGATATTAAATGTGTAGGTCTAGCAGAGTACCTCAGCTATTCCAAAACTGTTTGGTTTAGAGATGAGAAATAGCTCTACATGCTCCCTGCTGGACCACATTCAAAAAACACCTTGCTACCTGACAAGCTCCTGCCAGGCTACATACCAACAGGTGGGAACAACTCTGCACAAAAAAAAACCCCACCATCTTTGCGTTTAGAATTGAAACCAAAAATCATGACTGAGACTTGAATCTTTCCTTCCCCTCTCTTTGTTCCACTGGTCTTTCAACATGTAAACTAAAGGAATATCTCCATTCATGACAAGGAGTAGTATCTCCATACCAACGAAACAGCTTTGTCCCCTTCTAGCTTAGGACTGCAGTACAGACACATCCTATACAGATCACAACTGTTTATTCAGCCCTTGCATCCAACTGAACAATTAAGAAGAGCAGAAGATTTTTAAACAAAGCATCATATAGTAGACTACTGTTATATGAAAAGTACAAGAGGTTGGCAAAGTGGCAAGAGATATCAATTACATTCACAGATGCTTTGCACCCACCAAAGGTGATCTTTTTCAAATTAAGTGAGTTCTGCTAGTTTTTCCTTACTTCCCTTTCCTGGCCACAATCATCAGGAATTTGATAGACCCACATCCACGTCAAATGGCACGTTATAGAAATATGCAACTCCCTACCAATAGCCAGTTAGAATTGCTACACCACATGTTATGAGTAGACTGACTTTTGCTGCCCCTTTTCTGTATAGAATATCTAGTGACAATCATAACCCTGACAATGGTTAGAACTTGGTAGACCTTAACCTCCCATGAAAAAGTCAATATGTGACCTTGCTGATGGAAAAATAAATTAAAACATACAACAAGCATTATTTTTATAAGATAATCTTATCATCCCCAAAGAGAACAATAGAGATGGGGAGCTATATCCAGAGTAATTCTGCAGGCAATCACGTTGAGCCACCAATCCGAAGTGCAAAGTGTGCTCATATGCCCTTGAGAAATTTTTCTTAGCCTAGAAATATAGACGTCCATGTGACAGCTATGATTGTTTGCAGAGTACAGGTGACATTGTCAGAACAGGAAATACGTATGCATTCTCTTGCCTCCACTCTGAACTCCAAGTAAAGAAACAAACACATGTCAATTAAGAAATGCCTGGATCCATCCTTTATATCCCAAAAGCTTCAATACTTCTCCTTAAAATTCTTCAGTGGAAAAATAAAAATCTAAATGGTGGAATGCTGCAAATAACCTTTCTTAGATGTTTAGTTTAGACATGCATGCTGAAGTGCATCAGGATAAATACACTAAAAAAATTTTAAAAAATCAGAATTCTGAATAATTTCTTACCTGAACCTAAACCGTCAGAAATTTCACAGCAAGAACCAAGGATTACTCTGATCCCTAAAGTATATCTGTATATGAGAATCGCTTGAAAAATGAGATAAGGTCCTTGACATATCCTGCTTTTGACCATCCTCCATTCACTACAAATTGGTCTGAACTCTGAGTCTGTAAGTCTTTTGATGTTGTTTCTAATTAGAATTGGGAGAAAATTTATTTCAGTGGAATATAGTAAGTGTAAGTTTTTTTCCTGAACTAAAGCCCAGACTGAAGCTATACATTGCTGAGGTTGAAAAAGTTTTAGCAGATACTCCACTATGCAGTCTCCACTTTCTGAAGTTGTTTCGACCCAGAAGCACATTAAGCAGAAAAATCCATCTAATTTCACTGGTCTTCCATGCTCCCTACTCATACCAGAATTTTATGGCTGTCAGTGTGTGTTTAACTTCAATAGAGTAAATGTCATTATGTACTTAAAGCCTGGTACTTAATTTCCACTATGAAGCTCCAGAAAGCTACCTATATTCAAGATGCACATATAGGTTTTTATACAGCGCCATGAAATTATTTAGTAGCACAGTGTTATTTATAGCAATCTCCTGGGCAACATTTTCAAAAGACAGGTTCACACCAGTAGCATCAGAGCCATTGGAAAAAATAATTTCATTGCCTAAACTATGTGAGTTTCTGGCCATGGCAAGAAATTGTTGTACCATGTACCCAGAGAGAGGAAGATAAGTCAAAAATAGGAAAGAATTTGGGGAGAGGGGTAACATCAGGATGCTGGGGGTTGGGTTTGGTTTTAATGTCTTCAGGGTTTTGACCGTCAAATAAAACCTCAGAGAAAACTGCAAGGCAACTTGATGATAATGGAAATTGCCTTGCTCCAGAAGATACAGAGGGGGAAAAAAAAAAAAAAAAAAAAGCCAAACCAAAAAAATGAGGCCCTAATATACAAAGTCACATAGGTATCAAAAGCTGGAAACAATAACCCGTCTGTATAAGGGAAAACATTAGCTGAAGGAATCTATTAAAGTAAAGCCTTCTCTTAGCTCCTTGAACAGTGTAAATATTACATTAAAAAACAGACGTCAGCTTGTGGACTTTATAAGGGGCCATATCATTCTTCACTGGAGTAACAACTATGTAACTGCTGTGAAAACAGGATCTTGATACTGTACAAGCCTGCTATATAGCCAAGGTATTATATAGGCTTTGACACTAATTTGGACACGCTCCATGCCTTGGTGGAAAGTGGAACTTATGACTTCATCCCAAATAGGACTTAATGGATTTCTGCAAATATTTGGGCCATCTGAACCTATCAAAATGAAACAAAATAAAACAAAGTATTGTGTGCACAGCTCAGCTGATCCTGCAAGACTTTTTGCAAATCCTAGGAGACCTGATTCATTGGGCAAGCTGTTTTCTAGAGAGCAGAGACCTTTAGTGGATTCCACGTCAGTGGTACAAGCATTTGCAATACAAAGACTGCCATAACAGACAGAATCAAGAATTAAAGACCACTGCATTTGTTGTGAAAGTTTTTACAAAGAAGTATTAAACACTAGTGTTACAGAAATCATGTGGAAATTCCAGATACTCATGGCTGAGTGGATCATGAAAATGAAAGAAACTGTTTATATGGTGGGCGCTTCTTTCGAGATGGTTTCAGTCTTGAAAGAAAAAGTACAGGGAAAGCCTGAACAGTAACTGCCTTCATTGAAGCTCTTTTGTGGTGAGCACTGTGTTTCAATTTACAGTGATGACACATCAGTATTTTACTCTGCACCAAATGGACACCAAACCATGTTGAGAGGTTCTCTAGAACTTGCCCTGAAAATCAGAGCATGTCAGAGCAATAATAAATACGTCCACAAAATTAGTAACTTTACAAGGCTTCTTTCCTGCAGATGAAACAGGGAGACATATATGGTGATATGACAATTAAAACTAGTCCAGGAAATCACTGGCAGAGCTAGGAACAGACATGGATGAACCCAAAGCTTTCTTATTTCCACCACCATGTATATCACGTTTTTATGCAGTGTAAAAATCCCAACTCCCTGGGCCCAGCAGGTGCTTGGCATCCCTGGGTGTCCAACCATTAGGTGGACACTACCTGCACACACGCCCCTGTGATAACATGAAAACTAAAATAACACTTCCTCCTTGAACAGATGCATCAAGAAATACACTATATGTAATGGATGTCATACAATAAGTATGGGTTCTGTTGGAATGATACCTATTCCTTGGCAGCATGACTTCCTTCTCAAACCCATCTCTTCAGAACTGCGGCCAACCTTACTGCTTTGCACTGTTCAGAACAGAATGAGAGCCACATACCTGATGCTGCAGAATGTGAGTTTAAAGATATTTCTTGGGCAAGGAACCATTCATAGAGCTCCACTCTATACCAATAAAACCAGCATGTAAACACAGATGAAGAATATGAGGCTACTGTAATATAAATTCCTGTTCCAGCTTGTTCACTGTATCATGTCCAGACAATGCATGCTCAAGTTTCTACTTGGGTCACAAAGAATTGCATTTTCTGGCAAAAGCCACATTAAGGTTAGTGTGGTTCCTCCTCTCAACAGCCTGTATGCATGATTCTAGTACCTCACAGTGCTGAAAGACTGGTCATTTAACCTGGTGTGAAGGGTCAGCATCATCACATACAGTTCAGAAAATATAAATAATGGAGTTCGAGTCATTACAAGAAACTAATACCTTTTAAGAAAAAGTGAAATATGTACTTTTTCATACTAAGTTCCCTGCAGCTATTTTTTTC